GGGGCGCCAGTATTGATACAAACTGAATGTTCCTCACAGGAGCTTTAAATTCAGACTCATTCATATGCAAACAGCCGGGCTGATCATTTTCATCTTCTTTTTATAAAATCAAACATGGTCTGTTCTCTCTCGGATATCATGGATGCAAATTATTTCTCTTTTAATAAAAGGCTCTTATGACAGAAGAAGAAATTGAGAAATACAAGTGACAGAAAAAAAACAGATTTGATTGAGAAAATAGAGGGTGCTGATACAGAGAGAATATCAGAGAAAGAAATTATGCTGCATGAAGGGCGCCCGGCGAACAGAGACAGATCTCACGAGACAAAGGGAATAATTGGGTTGATGGAGTGGTTAATTAAAATGTCCTTCACAGCACAATTTCTCCTCAGAGTTCTTTCACTTTCTTATCTTTCATTTGCTGTCTTTTCCCTGCTGTTCACCGACAGAGATGTGAACACTGTGTTCAATATGAAATGTCCCGCTGGAGACAATCAGACGAACTGAGCCACCTTTGCCCAAAGATTGATGAATGTGGAGAATATGAGGCGCAAAAACGAACATAACCTGCTACTTATGATCAAAAACTGATAGAATATAGAGAATATATACGATGGTGACATTTTACTCACATATGTCATAATGTAAATTTATCTAATTTACAGTTAAAGTGGTTCAGATATTTATCTGTATGTCACCAGGAGGAATTAATCAACCAAGTCTACAGATTAACCGTGATGCTGTCTGTTTAGTCCACTCCCTAAATGTCGCCACTAGAGGGCAACCTCTCCACAATATAGAAGCAACTACAGAACAAGACAGCTCAGTGCTGGTTTAACTGCAACACTAGGAAGTGTTATGGTGACTATACATGTTTGTTAACAATTTGACACAAGTATAAAAAGTGTGTGACAGTAATTTAACTTTTGCAGATTTCTGACCTTTTTTCATCTCCAAAGAGATAAACTGAACTCTGTTTTCATTCAATTTGCAGTAAAGGTGTTTAATCGGATTGGTTATTTTCAAATCTGTGTGTTTAAACAGCATTTTTCAAGGCAATTTATCATGTATAAAAATAAAATTTATAGACTACAGTCTGAATTATTCTACCTCTAGTAACTTGGATTATGACAGTTAAATTCAAGGTTGCTTAAAGGTGCAGTACGTAGAAATTAGTGATATTTAGTATAACAGATTTGGTAGAAATGGATTAAAGCAATTGTAAGTATGTTTAGATTAGTGTTAAATCACCTTAATCTGACCACAAAATACATAAGTAAGTAAATAAATAAATAAAAGTTTTTGTGACCCTTTTTTTTTTATCTAGGAGTGGACCCCAGAGGTCCCAATAGTGCACCTCCATGTTTCTACAGTAGCACAGAGAGGACAAACTTGTACAAACTTCAGGGTTGCAGCTGTGCAAAGTGCCTCCTTTGGTAGAAGAAGAAGAAAAGAGTGATTGTTGTGCAGTAAATAAGTATAGTGTTAACTGATTGTTTTGATGGTAAAAGGGAGAATTGTACTTATCGTGCATCATATGAGCTTCTTGTCCTGAAAAGCCACCTTTATTTTTTTGACTGGAGGGATGAGCAAGGGGGCATTTCAGTCCAACTACAGAGGCAACTATAAGATATTCATACTTGTTTTTCCATTTCCACACACTTGTTATGTTAAGAGCGACATGGTAAATATAATAGCTTTGAGGTAAAATGGGGACAGTTTATTTTTGTTATTGTAGAATGGCACAGACAGTACAAACGGAGAATAACACGCCTTGATAGACACTTAACATATTTTCAATCTAGAAATAAATCCTCAAAACCTGAAAATAATGCGTTAGAAATCACTTGTGGGTAAATGTGCAGGATCTATGTGAAGTGTGGTTCGTCTCTTTTTTAACTGACTGATGAAAAAAGGCAGAAATGAAGTCTTTTGACGTGTTTTTGAAAGCATGTTTTTGAAAAGAGAAGAAAAAAAAATTAACACAATATTCAGGGGATGGTTTTGCAGGTCCTGATGAAAAAAAACATCCTCCATTCATTTAAGAGATTCTCCTGGTTTTGAGAAAGAAAACCCAGAGCCATCTGAAAGCTCTCTGAGGATTTATCATCCAGCTGAAAGCTGGGGGTAAAACTGGTGATCCCTCTGCACTCTTTGTTCACCAAAATCACAAGAGAGCAGAACTTAAAGCAGCATGTTGTTGCCTGGTAACAGAGCCTCATTTTCAGAATAAGAGCCCTGTTCAGAACGGTCTGGATTTATTGACGGGTGATTTTTTTAAACAGATATTTCTCAGACAAACTTATATTTTCAGGAATTGATTAGAAAGAGAAACAAACATGCGCTGCGGTCACGCTGACCTCATGCAAACTAATCCAGCGCTGTGACGCTCAGCAGGCGATATTTAATTGTGTTGCTCTAGATCTGCATGTTTACAGTATTTGCATATTAGCAATTTGTGTCCTCATTCATTAACACCATACAGCAGCTGGGTAGACAGGAAAAATTAGCCTTTATGAGTGGTCTGGATGATGCATGTGCAGTCACGCCTGACCTATAATTCATAATTATAACAGTAAGTTCATTACTGCTTCATGATGGACGACAGGGGCAGCTATTAGCTACAATGAGCTGGCATATTCTATGCAGAGCACTCACCAATTAACCATATTTCGATGATGACATGTCCCCTGCTTTTGTCTGCCGCTTTCATTACCACTTTCATATATGTACGGTAAAGACGCTGCTTCTGTCCCACTTAAAATGAGACCTCAGAAATTAAGCTATAATTGTAATTACCCCAATTCTGTTATGTTTCATTTCAGTGTTAAATAACCAATATTAGCCTAATGGCCTTATGTATTTTGCAAATGTAGGTTATCAATCATGTTAAACAAAGACAGGGTTGTGTTTTTTCTGCTGGTGTTATCGCAGGTCACCCGCTAATCAAATGAAGCTGAAATCAGGTGTGTTTAGCTGAAGGTGGGGTCAGTCAGTCTGGAGAGCACACGCTGTTCAAGTTTGTTCAGTTATGTTTGGACTGGAAAGTATTTTAAGTTCTTTTCTATGCATCAGTACCAACAAGTACACTGTCCAAGTATTAGTTTAACATGTCAGTGTTGTTTTTTGTCTTGAGACAGCAGAACATGTCTGTGTAAACGCTGTACTTACCTGAGCAGACAAAGTTTTCACTGACACTCACTAAACTGACTTTAAAGAGTGTCTGGTGTCTCACTTGCTTACATTCTAGATCAAGATAGTAACTGTGTTAAAAAAGCAGGGATTGAGGTCACATTGTTATACAAGACCCAGCTAGTCTTTTTTAAGGATGTCAAAGTGGGAAACAGTGAGTGCAGCTTCTAAGTCTCTGTCAGGCACTGTCTGTCTCCATCTGTCCCTGGTCCAGTAGTTATACAATTGCTAGATATGAGGAATGATCAGGCTCCCCACTGAGCAAAAGGCGGCTATTAGATGTCTGGTTATATTTTAGACCTAATTCCAACCGTCTTCAGATTCTGTATATTTTTAGACGGAATTTAGATATTGCACTTTAACTCATTATTTGATAACTATTTATTTAACCATGAGTTGCATAACTGATCTCCAAGTACTTAACCAAAATAATTATGATAGCTGATATACAACATACAGTGTAGTATAGTATAGCTGGCTAGTCTAAACTTGGTCTAAATTTAGACGTCTAAAAAACTTACAATTTTAGACCTGTGGTAGCCTGATTTTAGACCAGTCGTCTAGGCTACATTTAGACGTCTATTAGACCAAAACACGCTCAGTGGGCCACTACCTGTGATCAGTTTTAGGAGACCCCAACCACCAGTTTCTGCTGGTTACTTATCTTAGATATCAGACTTTCACCTCATGATTACTGCGATTACTACAACAATGATATTATTTATAGAAAACTTGATGGAAGAGCAACATGTGACTTTGTAAACTTTACTTACACATGCAATTACTTCAACCATCTCTAATAATGTCCAAAGTGCAAAGAAGTTTTTGTTCTTAAGACGCCATCTTCTGGGTAAAACACTGTACTGCAACAAAACACCTCATTCTCTATTTACTCATATCTTAGTCCTAGATGACAAAAATGCAAGAGGGTGTTTTCCATGTAATTACAGTATTTTTGTAAAATGTGACTCATTCTTTAAAACCATTTTCTTTCACCTGGTGATATTATAGCCCCCTGCGAAGCCCAAATTTTAGGGTTTCCAATATGATTAGCTTTTAGGCCAAGAGTCACAAAAACAGAGTCAGATTCAGGTAAGAGTGAACTGCTGTCTCCACTGAGAGACGTTGATTTCAGCTACTTTGGTCCCCACTGACCATCAACAGTACCAGCATACAACACTCTGCTTTTTACCTTTTGTGTATTTTTTTCATATAGAGATTAAAAATGACCACATTACATGTCAGCTTGGTTATATTAGCCTTACTGTAAACTTGTGTAACTAGTATATTTGACCTGAAAACAGTACCGGATGCAAAAGTACAAAGAAAACAGTGAAACTTTCTCAAAATTCATCCTCAGGCTAACTATGAGATCACGGATAAATGCTCTTGTTGTCGATATCCAGCTTCACAGAATATGCTTGTGTACTCTCAGACACTATTAGAAAACACCAGCAAACACGTCACAATTTATGAGCTTGGCTTACTCATAAAATTTCCACTTGAGATGACTTGATTTCCCCGAAACAGGTTTTTTACTCTTTAAAAATGCCTGTAATTTTGAGCACATTGCCAGTTATGAGTGATAAAAATAGTTTAAAGAGGAAACTTTCCTTCTGAACTTTTTTTTTAATGAAAACACATATAACAGGATAACCATCATGGAAAACTATGACTTCATATTTATACCGATAATGTGGCATTAAGTCAAAGTGGACCATACAATGATCCTGAAACTAAAGCGGAAGAAAAGAAACTCAGAAATCATTAATTTCATCATTCACACCCCTGCTTCACCTGCTGAGAGAGGTCGAAAATTTTCTTCTGAGAAAACCCCTCAGAGAATCAGTTCCCGGTACTGATGTGGTTTTGAATCAGCTGAGATGTGGAAAAAATAAACAAACAATAATGATCTGTGTTTAGTAAAGAGGAAGTGTTGGTACCGGAGTCAAGGTACGACGATAAATTCACAAGGAAACAGTTTGTGCTTCCCTGAGGTGCATTTCGAGGAATTGATGCCTCATCTTCATTCAAGCTTTCACACAAACTATTCATAGAAAAGCTGTTTACGGCTTAAGTTGTGGTCCCAGAGCTGTTCTATTAGATACAGAAAATGACTAAATAAGGGAGCAGTTCTCACAGTCATCCATTCAGTATCGCTCTTAGATTCTGAGATACTTTATTTAATGGCAGCTTATGTTGTTTGCATATTAGACACTCTCTAATCAAGATTAGAGATGTGACGTTTGTGAACGAGTCAGTCATTTGAACGACTCTTTAAGTGAACGATAAGAACCGGTTCACAGTGGCGAGCCGTTCCTTTCTCAAGCTGCCTTTATGTGTCATCTCTATGCCCCAAACACTAGGAAGGGTAGTACAATCTTGTATTCACATTTTTTTATCGTCTTAATTTTTATCAGTTATCTGTAGCCTATGCAGTTTTTATACAAATAGTTTATACAAATAGTTATCTCCCCGTCAAAGGATATGGTACTACCTTAAGGAATGTTTACGATGAAAACACAAGCTAAATAAAATTCCAATTAATATTTCTGAATAACTCCCACCCATGTGTAGCCCTAGTTGACTTCTAAAAAAATAAATAAATCAAACAATGAGCCGGTCTGAATGTCTCCTAAAGATCCAGCTCCCTTTGAAGAGCCATAAATCTCTAACTGAGACAACAAGCTTTGACCCTGAAATGCTGTCCTGTTCTTGCCTGGTATGAGATTTTAGCTGCTCCGTAGTTTGGGGTCTCCATTTGTGTATTTTTTAATTCATAATGCATCAAATGTGCATTAAAAAGATCACAAACTGGGATTGTAGTTAGACCAGAACAACAACTCTGCTACAAAGATAAACCGTTGTGCATGTTGCCTCCACAAAGTGTAGGAAACAATATTGATGATTTCCAAACTTAATGTCAACTTTTGTCTCCTGGGATAGTTTTCTGCTCTTCCTCAATCATCTTTGTTTTCTTTGCAGCTCTCTAACTTCATAACTGGTGTTTTATAGAGTTGCACATCAACCAATCCTTTTCATTTGTTTAAATTCGTAATACGCTTTTATGTCTGCGTGGATCAAAATGCGTAATTGTGCATCAGCGCTGAACAGAAGGGCACTTCTGATCGTCTACTCATAGTCTGCTTTGACATGTTGGGTCGTGGGTTCTATCTCACCGCACAGTATGAGATTCTGCCCCCTCTAACCCAGAACATCTTTGATCCAATTAGCTGGAGTTCTGCACGTTCGGGGGGGGAGGCTATTTTTTAACATCACATGGCAGGCCCGTGGGTTAACTCGTGTGATTCACTGGTACATGAGAACAGATGGAGGGAAGCTTTGACACATGTGTTCCCGCTGAACATGCCACCCATCCCGGGGATTATTTTATCTGAGCTGATTGAAAACATGGCAGAATCTGCAATAATTAGCATTTAGCATCTCCCACTTCCCCCCTTCTCCTTGCTCTCTGGAGTCATCCTCGCCCCGATTCGCTGGAGAAGGTCGTGAACGATGTTTTTCCCATCTGTTCTGTGCTGCACTGTTTGTACTCCACGTGTGACCAAAGGTTAGCTACTACTAGAGCTGTAAACTTACTAGAGATAAAATACACAAGCTTGTATTTACCCACTTTGACCTATTAAGGACCCGGAAACTGACAAATAATACCCCAGACTTTGATTTGAGAAAAAACTCTGTGTACTCATTATTCTCCTCTTAAATTGGGACTCCCTGTAATCCCCTTACGTGACCTCAGACAGTCCCAGGATTCCTCTTTGAGAACAACTTCAAAAAACCCTTAAAATAGTCAAAGTAATTACATGCTGTGTTCGGTCATGCTCACCTCTGAGGACTATTAAAAATACCTGAGAGCTACAAGTACCAAATACTGAGTCACAACCACTTACGCTGAAGTTTTGGCTCTGTTTTTTCTTATTTCTTAACTCATTCGTGTACAACAAACTCACCATCCAGAAACAAAACTTATTTCGGCTGAATTTGACACAAGCATAAATAAGTATTTTAAGAAGGCTGTGATTGGATTACAGGTGTCACTTGATGGATTTATGTATCTGCCTGTGTCTGAAGTGCCATGTAGTCATTGCAGAGACTTTACAGAAGAAGGAGTATTGCCTTATATAAGCCAAAATATTGAATCTCTAAGTTTAAAGTCAAATTAATTCTTTATGTAGTTGTTAAAGTTGCTGACACACACCATGGTGATTAAAACAAGAAGTTAAGAAACTCAGATGACCTCCGTTTTGTTGTTCGAAGCACTCCCTCTGAGTGTAATGTTCCTATAGATGGGTACACGTTGGTGTTTAAAGCTCAGTGCAACTTATGCAGATTAAACTGGCCCCGTGAGTCTATATGAGACTCTGAGCGCTGTGATAAAACTGTAAACGAAGGAGGTTTAGGAAGGTGTGGGAGGAGGTCAGCTCTGTTCTTCATTGTTTTACGCAGTGTTCGCTGAGTCATTTATAGCTAAAGGCAATGTAAATGAATAAAAGGTAAATCATCCCCGCCTATATGTTGATTTAAATATGTCATAGATGATCTCACTGCTGTGTCACATGAACGTCTTTAAAGGGATAGTTCATGTATTTTCTAATGAAGTGGGGTTGTTTGTTAAAAGTAAGTGTATATGTAAGATGAGACAAAGGATCCCATCAGCTCGAGCCGTAAGCTGTTGGAGAACGGATGCTATGGAATCAACGGGTTCATACAGGACCACGTTTACCACCTTATTCAGGACATTTTCACAAACCTTACCCAAAACACCATCACCAGTGTAATGAATGAAGAAGCGTATTGCGTTCACTTACAAAGAGGATTTTTTTTTATTTTTTTTATTTTTTTTATTTGCTGTTTTTCGGACAATTTTTTATTCTGTTTTTTTGTCTTTCTGTTTTTCGGACTATTTTTTCCTTAACTAAGCGAGATACTTCCAAGTCCTGTGATAATCTCATACAATCAGATAACGTTAACCTCCAGCTCCAAGATAACTTCGACTACGGGGTCAATGTGAGTAAAGCATGTTATTAGTTTAATATAGGGTATGCAAATCCTGAGGTGCCTGCGCGAAGTAGACAAACTTAGGTCGACTCCATCTATTTGACTTAAAGGGAGGAGTAACTCCCAGTGTCTCTAACCCAAAAGAAAATAAAACTTGAACTTGGGCCATGTTTACTTTCAATAAATTGAGCAGAGGGGGGCGTAAGCATCTGTCTCTAAAACGATCATAATACCAGAGAATAGGAAAAACAATTAGTTGAAAAATCAGAAAAACAGAAAAAATTATTTTGAAAAACAGAAAAGAAAAAAAGTCAGAATAACAGAACAGAAAAAAATACTCTGAAAAACAGAGCTTTTACAAATGCAATACGCCTCCGTAAATAAACACTTAAATTTTTATTTCTATTTATCGCTACTCTTTGGTGCACCACCTATTTCACTGTCTGCAGTGCGCTGACTGGCGGTTTGGCTCTTTGGATATTCAAGAAAGGCAAAAGTAAAACTAAAAAACCATGACAACACCACACACCGAGGTAGAGTCGCCCTCATTAAAACTATCAGTCTGTGTTTTCGTGACATTAGAGGCTCTGTGCTGTCTGGTCTGATGGATTTAGGTCAAAAATACTCTTCTACAAAGCCATTTGGGTAAATATATCTCTCTCTCTCTTGTCTTGCTTTTATCAACAGGAAGGTTTTAAACTGCATTTTTATAACAATTTAAAGGCAATGAGCTCATGCAATCAAACAGTTTAATTGTCCCCAATGAGATACGCAATTAAATCATGAGCAATTAAATGCAGATGTTAACCTGGTGGTGCTACAATGATTATAAAATGTGAACTAATTATCAGTCTAAGTCAATATTTATGGCCTGTGAGTCACACAACACAAGGAACCGAACTACTCCAAATAATGAGAGTTTATGTAAAGGCCAAACCGCTGCTATAAAAAAACAATACAAGCGAAAGGGGGCAAAGATTAACAGAGGTGGTAATTTAATCTGCTTCCCTGAGATAATGATGTAGATAGACACAACAGAGATGACTAAGAGGGAGTATATTTAGACCTGGTGGCTAAAAAAAAGCTATTCGAGAAAAATGAAGAATGACTTTTTCACCTGAGGACATGCAGGTGTGCCTGCAGTATTATTACATCCCTGAACCAATCTGCAGTTCCTCCTTGTGTAACCATAATAGCGCGCTCTATTGTGTAAGACATAATAATAATAAAAGTGAAGGTCATAAACACTGAAGGGGAAAAACACAGAGGCAAGGATGCAGGGGGTTTGACTCCAAAATTAGCATCCAATAAAAAAACCAGACAGGATGCTGTAAGGGTAGAAATCATCCCAAACAGGCTTTTTAGGACGTGACAGAATAAAGGACTTTTCTCACAAAGGCACCTCATATATTTAAGCCTACAACAAACAAGAAGCAACACAAGTGCTGCGTTTTCATGAATTGAATTTGAAAATGTATGAAAAGTGCGTGTTTAATTGTAACTGGAAGAAGCAAAGTTACTCTCAAGTACTAACAGGTGATATTTCCGAGTGTGCACCGCCTAACAGTGCCAGGAGACTACATGTCTGAAACTGTGACAGAACAACTGTTTGGTAGAGTAATGACGTGTCTCAATGTTTGCTACCTGGAGAGGATTTCCGATTCGTCATCCAAAGAGATTGAGACAATATCTGACCCGGAAAACCTCCGGAGCAGCTCTCCAGCTGCAGCATCATCAAGGCCACACATCCCCGCAGCGTGGGCGAACATTTCTCATCACTCTCCTTTTGTGGCCTGCTTTCCCGTGACTGAAAGGGTCTCTGAATCACACATTGATTGAGTTTTTGTTCGCTGTAATGTTTGCCACTGCCGGATGACTTTAGTCGGTCGTATCCTTCCTCAGCTGTAGAGCGCGATGATTAAAGACCTTTTATCATACATCACATTGTTTTAGCCGCACAGTGGGTGATTCAGGGGCAGCATTCATCATAAATACTAGGTTGGACATGAAATATTTGATGAAGAAGTCGAGAATTTCTTTGGCTCCCAGCTGCTGATGTTTTTTTCTCTCTTTTCACATCTTGTACTCGCTACGGTGAGGTCTTTTCTCTACGTCTTCTGTGAGTATGTCTTACACCTTTCACCTTCGCTGTACCTTAGGACGCTGTTCATTATGGCTCCAGTGTTCATTATGGTGTCAATACGTCAACAATGCACATGTTCGGACACCAAGTACGGTCTCAAGTGTTTACCTCACATCACACTTTAAATGCTCGTAAACGCTTGAGTTGCAGCTCACATCTGGAGTTTGTGAGCCTATTGGCTAACTCTACCTAGCACTTCGTCAATTTCCCCACCTGTCAAATCAGCTGTGCCTCTAATTCGCTGTGTGACCTTAAAGTTTAACTTTTATTATTTTTTTTTTTACTAATTTACGTGTTCTTAGTGGTCTTTAAGTTGTGATTATGAATTTTTTTTAGCCAAAATTGCATTACATGTGTCATTTTCAAGGTCTCCTCTTCTGCAGAGCTCCAGTAGCTCATTAGCAATGGGTGGAGACAGCACTGCAGGTAACATACAAGCTATTAAGCTCTCAGACACTAATGTCTTTGGGGACATGATGAGGGTTAATATCATAATTAGCTTTCTTATGAGCATTACAATCCTCTACCGCACATGGTTTTTCCACGATCGTCCTCTCTACTTTTGCGAGTTTGGTCTGCATAGCGTGGCTTTTACGGGGTGGAGCGTGAATTTGTGATGTACGAAATCTCACTGTATCTGAGCCTGCCATTCGGGTCTGCCAGAGATTTTACAGCGATTTGAATGCAGAAATACTCAGAAATGCTATTTTGCACTTATTTTCTCATGATATGTCCTGTATTATCAGAAAAATGCCATATGAACATGTAGAAAACAACAAAAACATGATTTTCATCAGAGTGGGTCTTTACCATCTTTAAAATGACGGTGCTTAAAAAACTACGCACTTATACATCAGCTTCATTTCTGAAGACCGGGGATTACCACTTGGTCATCCTTGACATTTCCCGTCTGCGTCAGGTATACCACATCAGTGACAGTCCTTTATTTAAGTGCTGAGTAGCTGCATCAAGCCTGGTGTAAATACCAACATTTAAGACCAAATTTATCAAAGCTGGTGTTTTTTGTTGTGTTTGAAAAAGCCCCTCAGCTTTATGAGGCTGAGGTAGACGGGTCGGGACTTATCTGTGTCATGACATTTATATAACCCCACTATTATTAACAGAAATTTTCATTTGTAAAGTAACCTAGGTTATGCAATGCTCAGTAGTACAGATCTATTTGACTTGAGCATATTTTATTGTTGCACATTTTATATGCTGGCGATGCTGTGGACATGTTAAGGTAAGATGAACGCCGTGGTAAATGTGGACTGCAGTGGAGATGCTTGCATACCTGAGCATTGCTAACTCTCGACTCTACGGCAGATATCAAACTTAAGGCTGTCTTTGCGGTTATTGCTAACCTTGTTGGAAAATCTTAGTACAACTGATTGGTTAAATTGTCTTATCATTTGATCCTGGTTTAGATTTTTTTCATCCTCCTTTTTGGATCGGATATATTCGAGTAAATTTTACAATCTGTGAAAATATTTTACAACCTACTCCCTTACTCTGTATATGTGTGTGTGTGTGATATTGAGAAGAGAAAGCCAGAGGGACATGTGTGAGTAGGCAGTGCTTTTGCATGGCTTTTAGTTGGTCTGTGTGTGTGTGTGTGTGTGTGTGTGTGTGTGTGTGTGTGTGTCTTTATGTAACATTTGGTTGTCTATTCCGTTGCAAGAATTATCCGTCTGCCTCCTCCACACTCTAAGCCCCCTGTAAGTTGTCTCTCGCTTTCCAGATCGAAAGAATATAAACGCTCCCCGTCCCTGTCAAGCAAATCCCCTCCAATCTCCCATATGTTTTCAGATTTATGCAAATGAAGGCTTCATATTTGCATGTGCAATATGTTTCATTCCCATCTAATAACGTTCACATATTTTAAGTCGGAGCTGCGGTGCGAGGAGCTGCAGCTTTGCTTGCTGTTTGCTTTAGAGAGCATAAAATGATAGCGTTCGGCGTAACCTTCAGAGTGCCATTGGGTTATGTAATATCTTTCTGCACACACACTGGAGAACACTTGGAGTTAAAGACTAATTTTATCAAACATGCAAAGAGGGAATAATTTAATTTCAGGGTGCATTTTTGTCAATGTAAATTATGTAACCAATTTAACAGAGTGTGTGTTAAAATTTAAAACATTAATAATGTACCGCACTGTGAAATATGAACCGACATAATGAACAGTAACTTTATAGATTTTGTTGAATTATTTCTATCCATCACTGCTTACATAATCTGATTTATCAAAAAGCCTGACACGAACTTCTGATTTGTAACGCAGTTTTTTTAATAGCTTGCATATTAACCTTAGGAGGGAAAGCAGATACCAAAACAGATCATGTGTTTTCTATTTGAAAGCTGAAACCTCAAAAGCATAAAATTAAATGTGCTCCTTTTCTGCAAATGAATGAAAATAGAGAGATTTGTACGGTTAGGGTGAAAAAAATAAGATCGTAGCTGGACATGAGTGACAAAAGAGACCGTACATTTATGAGATTTAAACTGATAATTGATCTTGAGAGCCAAGGTTTTTATTTGAAACACTGCCTATTTATTTTCTCAGTTATGATCCTACAGCCAAAACAGCAAAATACTGTATTATCTTACTGTATATCCTGTTGTTTGTGAAGAGGCTGCATCTTTCTAGGTCTTATAAACAGAGATGTGGTTGTATAGGAGAAATCTACCAAGCTGGCACTTGCATGTTATGTACCCACCCAGATATTTTGAGCCCTGGGTTATCATTGCTGTAGCTGGGTAGTCCTGCCTTTTTTTTTTATGTTTCAAAAATAACTTCGCCATTCTCCGACTCTTTAGGAGCGTCCAAAATAACATCTGCAAAGGTTTCTCCAGCAAAACTGATGTGCTTGATGCGTCGTTGTCAGAGTGGAGTAAAAACACATGTGCACACAATGAAAAAAAATGTGGTACTAGCTACAACATAAACTAGATCTAGATTGTGCCGCTATTTTGAGACTAACATTTATTTGTGAAAACGTGCAGCAGGACACAGCAGCTAGAATTAAATACTCAGTGCCCAATTTGAACTGGTGTTAAACTGAAGTTTATGCCAAATTGGTCTGCTCGCACCAGAATTACAAACAGTAGATCATCTTAAATTAGACTCAGTAGCTGATAATGATCTGTCTTTCAGTGTAACATATAGGTTAACCAAATATTACTTCATTCTCAGAAATTAACTTGTTTTTTGTCTCTTAGACCTGAAGATTTTTCAAGTTTTTGCTTTATATATTACGACGGAGTATTAGGGCCACAGTAAGATTAAAAAACATTTAAGATTTCGTAGTTTCTTATGAGAATAAAGTCGCAATAAAATCATTACTAATGAAAATAAAGTAATAATTAAGTAATTTTTTACGAGAATAAAGTTGTAATAAAATCATAAAGTTCTAAAGTAAATGAAGTCTTAAAGCTGCTTTTGTGGAGGAGGAAATGTCTGAACTGGTCAACTGCAGAGTTATCAGTGGGTTCATCAGTGGGCCGTTCAGAGAGCTTTTGTGATTTCGCAAGAAACAATCCAACTGATGATCAACATTTGCGATTCAGAGGGAGATTCTTATGGCATATAGATTCATATGAAACTAAAGCCAGATATAAACGGCTGCACTGAGGGATTTAACCTCTGCACAGACATTTCCAGCCATTCCCCCCTCCTCACGATTCCCTACAAGTCCGCCTGGTCCTTTCTGTGGAAAAGATGAATTTCTTGCATTTGTCCTGATACTTCTGACAATGTGATGCTGAAACACCAAAGGATTTAGTATCTCTTTGTTTGTGAAACCTTGCTACTGAAGTACAATTCATCTAAATGCTCCACAGCGTTCATTTAAACAACTAACAACAGGTCAGAATTTTTTAAGTCAAATTTTTTTTATATATATAAACCCTAAACAATCGTTTAACTGTTTCTACTATATTTTATAAAAGTGGTTTAAATTATCATCAAGGTTTTGAAATAGACTCTCTCTTTAGAAGTCCAATATCTAAACTAGCAGTCCTGTACTTGACCGGTTCATCAGACCCGTCCCTCCTTCTTCTTCTTCACATTCATGCTTCCATCTCTTTAACCACAGCACCGCTGAAGCTCCACTCCACTAACAGATGTGCTCCAGTTGTCCTTGGAGAGTTCCCTTCGCAAACAAAAGCCCTCTTCCCCTTCTGTCTCCCTCCTATTCCACCCCCCTTCTGCCTCTCCTCTCTCCACGATCCATCTCTGCTGCCCCCCTCCCCTCCTTCCCCTCTCCATGATTTCACACCACCGAGCATGCCGCGTGTAGCTCCCACTCGCTGGCAACAGAAACACTAGATTTCTACAGTTTAGAGCCGTGCAGGTTCATGCAAATAACACAGCGGCGTTGCCAAAAGGAGGCTGCAGTCTGCCAAACGCACGTTGCAGAGGGGCTGTGATCAAAAAAACGAGAAGATCACCAGCAGCTCTTGCACACACCGGACTCAAGGTAAAGGATCCATATTCATTTATTGAATGAAGAGGTGTTACGTAATACTGCTGCGGACACATAACTCTGCGTTAGGAGGGTCTCTGCCATTATTTACGGTTCACAGGACTGATTGTTATCCGCTGCTTGAATGGAGGCTTTCTGTTTAATCTGACGTCTGTGTGACAGCTCAGGAGCTTCACACACGAGTGTTTGATTCTGCACGTTTTATTTGTTTGTGTACACTTCATGTCAGCATGTCCACATTTTTGGCTAAGCGGTGTCGTTTTCACGCATGTCTTAAAAAATCAGTTCACACATACACACCCCCTCCTACCCACCCACTTGTCATGCTGAAAGCTGTGAGGGCTTCTCAGTGCAGTAAATGTCACTCATCAAAGATGGAGTGGAGTTTTAAAGCCCACACGAGTGGCACCTCAGGGTAAAGAGTATCCAACCGCTGCCCTTATCAAACCCACATCCCACCACCTGATCCCTACTTCTCCCATCATTGCATGTCGATAACCATCATACTTATTACACTTCTGATGACGTTATCTGGGATAGCCTGTTTTGGAAGAGGTTCAAACCACATGAGAGGAGGTGATCCCTTAAGACCTGGAGGAGTTCAGCCTGATAGTCGGGAACACACCCTGTCCTCACAACACAAACACGCAGAACGAACGCGGTGATGCCCTGTTTGGTTATCTTGGCAAGAGAAGTGTACGGTTGGTTTAAGAAAGAACACGACAGCTGCGCCTATAATAATAAATATTATACAGTGTACATTTGAGTTACATCACACCCAAGTCAAAGGTGAGACTTATGTCACAAACCTGTCTTTGTTTGACCCCTCAATTACCTTTCTGCCGTTGTTCAAGCACTGCAATTACCTCAGGTACAAATGATGTTGTGTCAGTATTGACTCGTGGTTCCCTTAGGACTAAAAACAGAGTCCACTTGTCAAGAGTCAGATTCTTCAGACCAACTAACTGCCCTCCTAGACCCACATCTTGCAAAACAGGTATGCTAGTCACGGAAGGGTGTTACGTTCTGAACTTCACATATGTTGCATTTGTTTCTGGACAAGTCAGCATTGACGTTTGATTTTACCCAATGGCTTGACTCATGGTGTCCTGGTGACACGGTCCCCGACCTCTACCCCGTTACAAGAACAAGTTATGGCATAGACGTGATGCAACACTGGGAACCCGGTGTTACATACGATGCTTTTAAGACTCCTGCATGGCAGTTCTGTCTCCAGTTGACCTCTCTGTCTTTATATCAGGACTTTTCCATGATCAGTCACTTGCAAAACAGTCTAGGAGTCAATCTGAATATAATGGTGATAAAATTGATTTATGATTCTGCCGTAAAAGTAATGATATTTATACAGCAGCTTTAAAAACACAGGTTCACAAAGTGTTTCGACATGTAATTGTAGATAAACAATAGACATATTTACAGAGAAGCTGAAAAATAACTTTAACACCCAACAGCTCTACAGTCCAAAGGAACATTCAACATTATCGACCCAAAAATATAAAACCTAAAAACCCAAGCAGAGACTAAGAGAACCACTACAGAAGAATAGGGAATGGAGGATATAGAAACAATAGATGAAATTAATTTAAAGATAAAAAGAACTGAAATAAGGTGGAAGGAGTTAAAAGCAACGTGGTATTTTCCCCAACATTCACTCCTTCATGGTTAAATAGAAAACTCTCGCACAGTTGACCTTTGCTCTTATCTTAACTGGGGAGCACAGTAAAAGAGTGAGAGCTGCATGAACCTGCTGGAAAGTGAAACAGCTTTTAATGGTCTATTGGATTTATTTTCATGGATGCACATGTCAGGAGTTGTGCAGATTTCAGATGCGAGAAATGAAATGTTATGATAGAAGATGTTTTGCATGCATGCTGCATTGGAATGAGTGATTTGCAGACATAATCTATCTGTGCTGCCTCATACATTGATAATCAATAGTTCCCATGCATACATTTTAATAGCTAAAGGCTCGTCATCTCACTGGCTTTATTTGCATGTCCATCAAAGTTACTATTTTCTGGCGTCCCTTTTTTCCATCAACTAAAATGAGTGGATTTAATTGAATCCACCGCACAGAAACAAACCTCCAGATCAGAGAGTCTAATTTTAGCTCTGTTTTCATTGTGTTATTTTCTTTGGTTGATGGGTAATTTAGTGACAGCACTTGACATCCAGGTCTGCGGGTAATAACATGAACAAGGTGTGTAGCCGGCACCAGAGCAAACACATTATGTGGTAAAGTGCTGAGGAGATAATTGATTCTGGGTCTGCTGTCACAGTGTGCAGAAGATGTGTCACAACATGTGTTGAAACGCACAAATGAGCAAGTGCACTGCTGCAGCTCGGCAACACAAGTCAGTGTATGCGAATGACAACACCGTTTCAAATCCTCCTCTGGAGAAATGCTTTCAGTAGACTGAGCCGCGGGCCCGGGAGCCGATCCGCCTTCTGCAATGCAAAATAAATCCCTGGAACAAAATGATTACATAAATGGCTGAAGGCGGGATGAGCGATAGCAGACAGGCGTTTAGGCTGTAGCTCTGAACAGTTGGAGCTGAAAGCAACAAAGACCAGGTTGGGATTAGAAACACCGTAGAGAACTGGACCAGACAGTTTGTTGCAGGTGCTGTCGAGGGTTACTGGTGGGCTAATCCATTGTCACGGTCCAGATTGTTTACAAACACATGGCGGCCATTTTGCCACCTGCATAACATGCTCCTGTGCTTTCATTATAACTCCAACATCTTTATTTAAGTGATTATTTTCAGTGGTTAGTCGGACTTTCCTTGTTCAAAAACAACTCTAAAAATTACGAAGTACCCGCCGAGTCTGTTCAGATTCAATCATAGCAGGATATGACCCACAGAGGATGACAAGTTCTCATTTTATCAGCGGGCAAACTGTTTCTCCAGAAGCTACTGCAAGTCAGTGTCGTGCCCTTATCATCCTGAACACCCCTGACACACTTGTGTGCTTTTAATAGCTCTGTCCAGTCAGTGACAACAAGATTTTCTTCAGAGTAATCCGACGTAGCTCTGAGTCAAACACGCTGCCACAGAATCTGGTACCCAATGTCTGGAGTTTAGGTGTCGCAAGACTTTGACTAAAACGGTTACGTTGTGTGACATCCAGACAATCATGGTGGTGGAAACAGACCCAGAAAGGCAGACACACACACAGTGGAGCCAAAGCGCTCATCTGTAAAATAAAAGGTTCATGCAAATGAAGGGATAAATGCTAATATCAGCCGTGATAATCGAGCAGACTCTTTATGAGCTTTTGATACCTAAGCTGCTCCTTTGAAGCTTTAGAGAAGATTACATTACACACATTTTTATGTCCTTTTAATTCATTGAAGCTTGGATGATCACTGCAGTTATCACATGAAGATCTAGTGCATCCCTTTTTTTAAGGTGAAGGAGTTCATCGACTCGAACAAGTTGGTCAATTTTGCCACTTTCCCCTGATTTCTCGAGAAAAATCGGTTAATTTAGGTTTAGGTTATTCTCGTCTGCAAGATTAGCTCACATTCTCTCCCTTACAGTACGCAGTCGGTTCATATGTTTGACAATACGTCAAGGTGGCATGAATGCAAGAGGACATGGGGTGCACTTCTGTGGAAAGAGGATTAGATTATTGGACACAGAATATTTATAGAACAAATGTGCAATCTTTTAGGGGTTGCAGAACAGTCTGCACAGATATATAATGTACCGTGTCCCTGTAAAGCCTGCTCCGCACAGTGCATTTCTATCCCTTTGTGGATTAAAGTCTAAGCTGCTCATGCGGGTGAACTGAAAACAGATTAAGCTGATAGAAAATGAATAGATAGAGGTGAGCCCGTGTGGCGGGGGCGTGATATTAATCCAACAGTACATGAGTTTACCTCTCCGGATAGAAAGCGAGATAAAAATAGTATTTGGGCGCTAGTGCTGAAAAGCCCCCAGGTGGTTTTATCCCAGGTTAACCTATCAGAGTGTTGAGAGTGAGCAATGTGCTCAGGTGTTATCAGAAAGTTCTCAGGGGGACGGAGGGACCAGTTACAGAAGATGATGCATGGTACAGAGTATGACTCACCAGACGAAACTTTTTAACTCAAGAACTATTTTCTCATTAGTTTGAATAAATTATTCTGAAACCGCAAAAATAGAAAGTACAAGTCTGCATGCAAAATCGGTTAAAAATACATCATATATATAAACTCTGAATCTGTGCCTGCAGAGATGCTCTGAATCTCCCGTGTGCATAATAAATCTCACACCTGCTTTGGCCACATCAACAAGATTCTCCTGCGAAGTCAGGCCAGCAGTACATGTGATGATTACTCACCGCTGCAGCCTAATATAGAGACAGATTACTCATTCATCAGCCACTATCACCTCTGATATTGAAGTCATTATTACCAAATGTCAGAGATCAATTATTCAGTTTAGAGCACTTTTATTAGAGCGGACCCTAAAAATAGAAGCTTTAAAATGGAGGACAAGATGAATCTGAACTCTTTACTAAAAGAAAAGGTGAGTTATACAGCCGCTACAAAGACTGAAAGGAGACATTAAAAGACAGTTTTAAAATAGTGGAGGCTGTAATGTTAATACAAGGAGGGTCACAATAATTCCAATAAAACTAAGTTGCTTAAAAAAGATGATACATCAAATCTTTAGCCCTGGGACCTCAGTCTGAGCAGCCAGGTTGGAAAGAGGCTAAGACATCACTCTTGGGGGACACTTGTCACCAGGGGGCGTAGCAACAAATTCTAGCCCCAGGTCATTCAATCTGGGCGCACTGACGTTACACTTGGTAACCGTCGCTGTCAGGCGGACTAAACCATTTCGCACCTCCAAGAGGGGGCGGCCCCCAGAATGACTAATATGTTGGGAGGACTGTGACATAAAGTTCATTCTCTCAGTTGATGTTATCAATATATTTGAAACAGGGCTGCGTGATAAATCGATTTTAAATTGGATTGTTTGATCATGAGGTTATTAAAAAAAATAATAATTTAAATCGTCTATTCCATTTTCCTAAATCATGTCTCGCGCCTCCAGGCCACCGAGGGCACTTAGCTCCCCCTTCCTGTGACAGCGCTCCCCAGTTCCCACACACATTAGTGTAAATTAACATTAACATAGTGTAAATTAACATGTCAATTCCAAATTAACATGTGGAATTGGTACAGCTTTTTTATTTTTCAGAAGAAGAGCAAACCACTCCATTTCATCTCCGTATGGATGTCTATTTGCATCTCTTGAAACGATCATGTGACACACAGCGTAACTCTTTTATGGCACCTGGGCGTGTCAGGCCAAAACAACCTTCATACGCGTGCTCAGTACTCTTCTTCTGTCTTTTGTGCATTTCCTGGGCTGCAATACAGTGCCACTTACTGGCTTGGTATATGCACTACATCGTTTTCAGTGATTTGGCGAAGTTGTCACTAAATAAAAAATCAAAACTGAAATCTAAAATTGAGTGGTCATAAAAAAAACAAAAAAAAACAGGATTTTATTTTTGGCCAAAATCTTGCAGCCCTATTTTGAAATAAATTATGACACAAATTAATTAGAGGGCCTGATTTATTCGAAATAAAAACACCGGGCCCCTTGGTAGTCAGGTCCACTCCCCCCCCCACTACCACGCCCATGCTTGTCACTGCTCTGGACTGGTGTGAAGGCATGAGCTAGTGTCACTAGCTCTCAGTATAAACAGACACTTAAGACAGCAGCAGGAGAGGTACTTTGTCCCTGTTTATAGATTTGCTATTTTTCAGAGTACATGTGTTTCAACAGAAAAGTATAAACCATAATTCACACATTTACTTTAGTTTAAATCTAGTAGAAGGCCAATATATCCTAATTAAGCATTAAGGATTGCAGAATAAATGCAGTCTTAGTGTTGAAGCGTCTCCCTTTTCACCTGTGAGAACTACTTGTTGCCCTGTTATTCTTATTCTGACCTGTTATGTCACACCTATAGAGTAGCACTCAGCACTATTCAGCCTCTGCCTGATGCACTTCATTTGGCTGATTCTTATGGGTGCTATTTTTTACACAGCTTTGCAGTTAGTTTTGCCTTCACAGAACACATCAGAGGCTAGCTCCCACTTTGTATCTTAGCTATTATCACAGCGCCCACTGTCACACTGTTACATAAGACTCGACTTTTCTTCGTTTAAGTTTTTACAGATAGAAAAGCTCCATAAAAAAGATGAGATCTGGCTCAAACTGGCCTTACTGTCAACAAAAGACTCATCAGTGAAGTGGCATTGGGGAGAGAAAATGGCTGGGAGTTTTCTCTTACGACTAGGAACACTTGGAGCAACATGTGTGTCCACAACATGTGGAGACAAACTTAATCAATATTAGAGGCGGAAAAAAAGACAGAGCAGTAAAGTGGATTTCACCGCTGAACTGAAAATCTGATAGAGCTTGGATATGAAGGTCAGAGCCAGATGTCAGGTTTGGACGAAGTCTGGTAAAGTTCTTAAAATGAGGACGCCAAAATCACACCCAGGTTTAACACCCTTACCCATGTTTCTCCTGTGTAGAAACTTTCTTGAGGATGAGTCTAGACCTTCAAAATTGTGTTTTATGACTCTGTTTGAATATAGTTTAACAAAATCAGTAAGAACAAGTTACTTTAAAGACCCACTCTGGTGAAAATCATATTTTTCTTGTTGCCTATGTGTTCAAATGGCGTTTTTCTGATGCTACGGGACATGAGAAAGGTGCAAAATTGTGTTTTCTGCATTCAAATCGCTGTGAGATTTCCTACGTAGCAAATCCAAGCTCCGCCCCTGTGCAGGCCAGACTTGGAAAAGTCGAGAGGACGATCACGTAACAAGCGTGTGCGTTAGCGTCAGAAAGCCAGTTATGATATTAACTTCCATCATGTCCCTAAAGACATTAGTGTCTCACAGCTGAATAGCTCTTATGTTACCTGCTACTTCTACTAAAATGGCAATGTTAGACCACAAGCTAGCGGAGCAGAGCATCTCTGTCTCCACCCATGACTCAGAGGCGAATTGTTAATGAGCTACTGGAGCTCTGCAGAAAAAAAGACCTTGAAAATGACATAAGTGACGTGATTTTGGCTAAAAACCTCATAATCACAATTTAAAGACCACTGAGAACACTTCAAGTAGTAAAAAAAAAAACGATTGTAGTGGGAAACTAGGTACACAAATTAACTTAAGTCAAGAGTTTAGGCAGGATTATAAGGTCAGCTATGGTATTTAAATACTACAAATACAACATATTCACCCATTAAAAAGGATAGAAATTGATGAAGACACAAAAAGTTACATAAGAGGCATTTTTAAGATCTGCCAATCGAGGGATAAATACAAAGTACAGAGTTTTAGCATGCAAAAGTCCTTTGCACTCTCTCATCCGACTGTCACATTCTGTGATATGTGCTCCCAGCTGCATTTCTAAAACTTGCACATCTTTCTGCATGATTGACACAGCAGTTCCCATTGCTCTGTAGCTCGAAGACAACGTGCAGGACTTCCAAATCGTTTTGCACTTGTCTTCAAAAAGATCCGATACTTCAGACAGGTTCACTTTAATCCCTCTCACATGCACAACAATGCAGGTCAATGAAAAGTGGAGTTTCTATCTGCAGGTGTTCCTGATTTAGCTGTGAGTGTCTCCTCAGGGTAGAGTATTTTCTGTCCTGAAATCTACCTGAGCCAGCTGAGTGCAGCAGACATCTGCTTGGACAGAAATAAACCCACAATCAGCCCTTTTGTTGTTTCTAATGGTGGCAACACATCAGATGGAGACGGGCTGACACATACTTCTGTGGGCAGACAGGCTTCCGTTCTGCAGGCAGGGTACACACACATCTACACACACAAGTGCAAGACCACAGTTGTGCTCCTGTGACTAAAGACCCAAATCTGACAACTCGGTTTGCAGAGAGGAAAGCGACTTTGCCAAAACTGAATGGCTGCTTGGACAATTTGTGTTCTGAGTCATGGTGCATCTTAATAAGGCTGAAAGCTGTGAAAACTGTGTTTGGGACTCAATGGAGTGAAGCTAGATTATGAATGTGATAATATTTTAAAACATTTGGCACGGATAAGACCTAAATGTGGGAGACGTACAGTACAAACGCTTCCTCTTTGTACTCACCAGCTGAAAATTACATAAACTCTGCAAATAACAACACTTTTAAATACTATATCACTCACAAACAGATACTTTAAGATAATTTGCATCCTCTTTCTCGTGCAACTATCTGCAAATTTTGCAATGCTTGTCCCAGCGTTATAAAACCCTTTCGCTCACCTCAGATGCTCCCCTTTCTAGCGTTCAGGTGAGCGTTCAACCCTGATGCTCGCTTTAAAAAATTCAGCACAAGGCCGTGTGGTGTCACCGAGGCAGAAGTGCCTGACACAGTTCAGTGGCTCTGCAGAGATAAGACAAGCAAATGACCCGGTTTCACTAAGTGTGAAAAAGGGAAGGCGGGCAGAGAGTGAGTGAGTGAATTAATTAGCAAGTTCATGAATTAAAACTAATTAATGGATACGGGGGAGGCTGCTGTAGATAAATGAGGCTGTATGAAAGCAGAACAGGTCCAGTAATTACAATCTGAGGGACTTGAGGACATATTAGACAGGATATTAGCAATCATTTGTGGACTTAATTCATAAATCCTTTGCAAGGGAGCTTTAAAAATGTGAGTATTTGCAGTCCAGTCCGGACACAAGTGAGTTTTATATCTTTTGGACAATTTGGGCTGATGTAATGAGTTTTAAACTGGTTGTTATGCCTCTTTCTGACCCACAAAATCCAACAAGACATTCATTTAACACCATAAATCTGAGGGTATGCATAAGTTGCACCAGTATCCACGCTTAAAGACCATCATTAAATCAGCTTTGTGCAGTTTTCTTGTAAATGTAACTCCTCTAGCACCACCACTGCCCAATTCTTTGAGATTCACTTGTCTTAAACTACAATGTCATTTCTATCAAATCAGTGCAACAAAAATGATACACCCATTAGTGTAGTGATAATTAGCTTCATCTGCCATGCTCTGTATCTAGCATGCTTTGCTCTCTGGAGCAGTTTCTTGTTTCTTGGAGCGCCATCTTCTGGGTAAAATATCATAACTCGATAAAATCCCTCTTCGTTTTATACTAGCAGTTTGATTTAATCAGTCTAAAGGATGCATCTTTTCAATTCAGATAGTTCATTTTTATGTCTGTAAACACTGCTGCAGGGTAGGTTAGACAAAGTGGTTGACATCAATGTTGGGAAACTGTATAGCAAAATAGGGCTGGGCGATAATCCCAAAATTTACTGATACCCAAATTTATGACAAAACTGACATCATTTTGCACATGTCAATATACATTAAGTGTCAAAAAATGAATAAATAAAAGTTGGTTTTGGGTGTGTGTAGGTAGGCTATGGTCTCATGTCCCTTTAAGACACTGTCCTACATGAAAGACGTGACTCCACCCCATCCAGTCCATAACAAAGAGGGAAAGACGTGAGGAGATGGAGGACGGTTCAAAAGTTGGAGCGGCTGGAGTAGACAGACTTAATGTGGGAGGGGGTGAGCGGCTTGTGGAGTAGTTATCGTTCATTTATCATTATCGAGGTGAACTGATCAATATATTGTGATATTGATTTGAGGCCATATCGCCCAGTCCTATAGCAAAGACTTAGTAATTGACACATAGTTAAAAACTATCAGACTTACTTTTTTCCTTTTTTGTTAAAAGGTGCAGTGGGTGGTATTAAGTGGACTTGGTAGACATGGAATATGATAAGTATGAATATTAAACTTATTTTGCTTTTTATATCTACTTATGAGCAAGTCCTTTAACCATTAGGTAACCATTTTGCACCACTATAGTTCTACAGTAGCACAGACAGGGCAAACTACACGCCATACACGTCTTTGAGTTTAGTGGCAGCCAAAAATGCTCTGCTTGGAGGACAGAAACGTGATTAAGACATACAGTAGGTGAACATACTGATCATGAATCTCACAACTTTTTGTCCTCAAAGGCCACCATTGCTTTACAGGGGGAGGGGTGAGCCAGGGAGAATGACCACTAATGGTCAATATTTCCATTTCCAGACACTGTACCTTCAAATCACAACTCTCATGATAACAAGACAAGATCAGCCAAGAAAGAGGAGGTACTATCACTCAAATGGAATATTTAATGTAAGCTATAACAAAAGGGAAAATGAAAGAAAATTCTTACTTATATTGTCATGTACAAGCTCTAAAAGTTACAGAAAGTATCTGTACTGCATATCACAAATTCAAGCTGCTGCTCTGAAGAAAATTTGGCCTCCCTGCTGTAGTTTTTGTCAGCAATAAAAGTTAAACTGGGGACATAATTACTCAGGAAAAACTGAGTGACGTGGACAAAATTCCACATATAGGACAAAAACGTGAGCCTCTATAATTGAGCTCAACCCAAACTGGCCGGTGTTGCTATTATTACTCACCCTCAGTGAGAGAGAGAGCAGCGGTCTGACCTTCCCCTGAGAGTTTCTTGTTTTAAATTTAGAGATGATGTGACACACACACACATGCACACACACACACACCCCGCTTATACGTCGACATCAGTGCGTCTGTGAGCACGTAGATACCTGAGCATCCATTCATGCATTATCACACTCAGTGTTGTAGATTATTAATACATACCCACACAAGTCCCACACTATCATTAGAGTGGGGGAAATAAATCTTCAAAGCATTCATTGTAGTTGGAGCCGCATTCTTTTGCACTGTGCAGATCCATCTCATCTTTTATTGTTATACAAATCTGGTTTCATAATCACTTCCCAGCATGTCAGCTTATACGCCACACATCTCTGCAGGGTGTCTCCTGTCAGCATCCCGAAATGAGGACATGGAAAGAAATCTGAAAACCTGCATTGCACCAAGTTAGGTAACATCAAAGAAGATGTTCATACTCACACTCTCAGAAACACAACTTCTGTGATCTAGATTTTTAATTCTTAATCCGCAAAACCCCACCAGGCACCTCAGGTCTACCGGAAGTTGCCTATGCTTTGAAATTCATGAGACGCACTTGTGTGTATCTGCGATGTTGGAGCGCTGTTGCCATTTTTAGCCCCTTTCCTCCAGGAGCTGGCCTCACTGCACGGCTGAATAGAACATGCACTGTTTCCTCCTGACTACATGGATTTGTCAGGGGTTTTTTATAAATAGCTCAGAAGAGGCACGTGTCAGCGACATACTGCAGACGAAGGATGCAGCTCAGAGATTCAGACGTGTCTGTTTGTCAAAACAGACGCAGAGAGGCGAGGGAAAGAGAGGAAGAGGGAGAGGGTCTGTGTTATGATGCTGTTGACAGCAACCAAAATGATGCGTCAATGTTTCCACATCTCTCCTCGTACGCTTCGATAAATGACCCTGCCTGCCAAGAGCGCCGCATGCTGACACACATATGAATTCAACCATGAATAAGTGTTCAAGACAAGTTTCCATTTCTGGAATTATTGTGTGAAAGCTGCTGTCATCCGTGCAGATATCCACATATCCCAAAAAAAATCATGTGTTTACAAGTCTGACTGCAATATAGCACAGATACAGTCATTTGCATGAAATAGCACCCAAATTGGACTTGTATGAGTTAGAGGTAATGGAGGCAGACGCAGAAGCTAGATAGCAAAACCATAGACTCCCTAACGCCGAGGTCAAACATCATCTTTTTGTCTGTTATGATGGTCACTGAAATGGTCACCATAAATCAGTGCCGTTACTTGACATGCTCCTTCTGTCCCTTGGCTTTTCAGACACACCAGTCCTCTCCCTGCTCCCCTCTCTCCACCTCCGTCTCCTCATCTGTCTTTCCCTCTTTGTTATGGACTGGATGGGGTGGAGTGACGTCTTTCATGTAGGACAGCGTCTTAAAGGGACATGAGACCATAGCCTACCTACACACACCTACACTCAACAAATATACTGACGTGGGCAGAATGACGTCGGTTATCATCATAAATTTTCGGTTTATCGCCCAGCCCTAACATAACAAAAATACAGCCGTCACTAATTAACTTTTACGGCATCTACAGCTTCCTCCACCCAAACTGTGTTGCACATCAAATTGGGTTTTTAAAAGTGAGAGCTGTTTGACGGGCAGCAGCTAACACATGCTCAGCTGTGGTGAAAGAGAAAAAAGGTGCAGTCTATTCATCATACACGACAACGCTAGGCAACACAGAGATTTTCAGCCTTCATTATCATACATGATTTTGGAGAGTCATGCTGGTAATGCAGACAGCATGTTGTGGCCAACACAACGAACATGACAGAGCACAGTACAGATGGTAGAAAGGGAGGTCCTAGATGACTCTCCACATGGGGTACAACAGTTGATTTTCGGGGCAGATGGGTCCTGGAACTCTGCATCCTCCAGATCAAGCTTTATCTCGTTCAACTTTGGCATAAAACAGTTTGAAGTTGGAATTTTGACATGAGACTTAAAGACATTCTGCAGTCTGCCTCAAGTGGACACTTGAGGAACTGCTTTTTTTTTTTTTGCACTGACAAGCTAATGCAAAATATCAAATACCAAATGCAACAAAATAAGCATTTTTCAGTACAAGAGGCTACCCTTTGCTAGTATGTTAGTGGAAGCTCTGTTTATTCTTGCAGCCCCTTTCACCAGGACAAAATCCCAATTAAATTCAAGGCAACAGAAAGGGGAACTTTTACAGACATGATTGAAAAAAGAGTAGATATTTACACCAATCAACAAGCACAAAATAACACACTTACTCTGTCATATCTTATTGTTTCAGTCAATATTAAGTGTTGTTGGTCTGTGTGGATATTCTGGCTCAGTCTCCTCTCTAGGTCATCAGATACTGAAATTTGGTCAGTGGCCCTCGGCCTAAACAAACTTTGCATATTTATTATTCCTGCAAGCCCTGCACAACCAGAACTACTGCCAGGAGGACCAGCATCCTGACCAGCCTGCTCGTTTTTGAGCCTTTTGAAGAGAGAACTGATTGAATATTTATGGTATTTGGAGGAAAAATCGTGACACACACAAATCAGACTGAAACCTCTAAACTAGTAATCAAATGCAAAATTCTGAGATTTTTCTGACTGTTTAAAATCCTGATGTAATCTTGTTTATATTCACCTCACTCAGTGTATTTACTTTTGAGCCGGCACATGACCAAAATGGCATGGAATCTATCATTAAAAAGATAAATAATGTTTAAAAGAGATGCATAAAATAAAGTTAGTCATCCTCTGGCATTTTCCTCCTGACCTTCAACCAAAAGATCACTTGCTGTTACACAATGTTGTAGCACCCATGCCGCTTTCGTACGTGTTTTCATGCTCCAAAGAGAAAGAGCATGATCAAATGTCTACCACCTCTGGTTTGTCACACATCCTTATTTCACCTTTTTATGCCGACTTGTTACCATTCACAGCAGACGTGTCTATTCTGAGAGTTAATTATGTGTTTCTGTACCTCTGCTCTCTCCTAAATCTCTCCTCTAACCTGTGGAGAAATGCGCCAAAAAAAACAGAAAAACCTTCCTGCTCTATTCAGATAGTTCAGCCTGTTGAGAGCTTTACCTAAAATACCTCAGCTTGTTATTTTTGAAAAAACCTCTCTGAAAATAAACCTGCATTAACAAATGAAGCGCACCTTAAGATGATGACTCACACAGATGCCACGCGAAATACCTTTCCGGCCCAGTGATCTTGGCTTATATAAAACATCTGATGCATATTATAGTGTCTTCAGGGCAGAAAGCAATATATCGAGAGTGCAGCCGGAAACAAGCTAAATTATGAAATTATTCATGAGCAAACAAGGAGCACGTACACCGTTTATTCGCCGATACAACCCAAACAAAGGCCCCTCAGAGAATCATCCCCATTATTTCTTTGTTTAACCCAATTTCTCTGTCCGAAAAAATGCTCATTTAATGGCAAAACAAACTGCAATCTAGTTTTCAGAAACCTGTTATATTAACAACAATGCAAACACTGCCTCTGATGCTCACACACCGTAAAACAGCCAGTGATGAAGGACACAACGTGAAATTGTAAAGAGCCTCGTAATATGTGCAGCGGCAATAAACCATTATTGCCATCAATTGGCTTTCACTTGGCAAATGAACAGTACACTCTCATTCAATGTTCCCTATTCAAGGTCCAAGCATCAAAACAATCCACCACTACAAATGTGACGGCACTGATCACATCCGCAGAGACAGGGAGAGAGGATTCTTAGGAAACAGCAGATCAGAGGAGGGAGACTGAGACAAAAGGTGTATGGACGGGCTCGGTTTATTTACACACAATCTGTTTTATGACCGCACAGGGGTTACATAACAAATCCATCATCAAACATAAGATAATAAATTGGTTCCTTGTATCGCGGTGGAACATGAATCTGTATTTAAGAGACGAAATGACTCATCCGCTTTGACAATGCTGTTGTTGTTCTCTTTTGTTGTTACTCTGCCTGCCTATCTTGACAAAAATTGGGATGTACATCATGATTGCTTTGACAATAGGGTGTTAGTTTATTGGGAGATCGGTTAGTAGAGCTTGGTTAGTAGAGCAGGCGGACAAAAGCAGCTATTTTCAAGGCTTTGTTTGTGAGATTGGTTAATGTTCTAGTGAAATTTGGTGCACACCATCGCCCAGTCTCTACCAACATTTCCTGTCCCTCTAATGTTATACAAAGACTGCCTCGCTTTTGGTTGGAAGTAGAACAACCAACACAACTGGATCCCACTTCGATGGTCCTATACTTTGTATAAATTTGATACTTATTTGTCACAAATTTTGCACATGTATGATTCTGCGTGAATCAATGATGAAATCAATGTGATAAAGATGTAAAACTCAAAACTTTAAACATGTTCTTATGAGTTTTGGACATGTACTTCCAAACACATGGTTATACAAATAGGTGTGCCCCATGTAGAGGGCTTGGGCCCTAACAGCAGGGTTCCTACGCAAGTATGTAAGTATGGAAAAATGTGGAAACAAGTTTGATCAATTTCCAGGTCTTGAGAAGTCTGGAAAATGAAAAATAAAGTATGGAAAATATTTTTGTTTTCAGACTTTTCCCACAATTTTAAAATTGTGTTTTCTGAAATAGAAAAGTAGGTATTTCCAAAAATAATTCTAAAAAGTAGGGTATGGAAAGTATTAAAATTCCAACTGTGTAGGAACCCTGTAACAGTAGGCAGTTAATACCTGAATATTTTTGTGTTTACCTGCTTATTTTTGCTCCGTTTGTGCAGTCTACTTAAATGCCCACAGATGCAAACTTTAGTAAAATTGGGGTTTTCTTTCACGCCACTGCAGTCAGTTTTTACAACACATGATTGAGGGTGGGTGACACTTTACATGTTTTATAGCAACTTGGCTGTTAATTCACCTCCCTCACTTTCTCTCAAACGAGCTTCATTTTACTCCCGTTAAAGGGATATTCCGTCGTAAATTGAAATAATTGTCAAAACACACCGTAACCCCGAGTTAGACACCCCCCGAGAGAGATGAATCTTGCCGACTGCTTGCCTCTCTAGTTATACCAATTTTAGTAATGGCCGAACGATAGCAATACACATGCGCAAACCTCAACCAAAACGCCACTCTATAGCCACAAATAATGCTCAGAACAGCACCTAACTTCACCAACAGCACATATAGGGTCCCAGCCATAGCACTAGCCACCAAACATCTTTTTTACTTTGCCTAATTTCTTTAGCAAAGAGACTAAACACAACTCACCTACTCTCTTCCAGCAGCCGCTTGTTTGTGGGGGGAGCCCTGACAAGTCGATCACAGAGTGCAGTGGTGATCAACTTGTCTGGGCTCCACCCGTGTTCTTAATATAAGTCACAGTGGATCTCCGTGCTGATTGGCTGTTGTAGCACAGGTAGCTTACTCTCACAAATAAGCAGACCGTAGCCTTGTATTTAACTCTGTATTGAAGCAGTGGTAATACTCTCATACTTCACTAACTTCCCATTAAAAAGGGGAAAGATACTTTGTTAGTCCAACATCTCAGCTTACATCGTTTGTGCATTCAGTTTTGTTTTGTTTTGTTTTTTTTCTGCCATAGACCCACTTTTGCACAAACTTTAGATCTTAGATGGAACATCTCTCAGCCACATGGAGGACTGTTTTGTTCCAGTGCATGATAAAATGGTTCACATAATCTGAGTTTAGGTAACCCATTTCAATTAAGCGATAATTTGTATTCAATTATAAAAGCAGGACCATTAAAGGCTAAAGATAATCACTCATTTGTCTATTTTTAACTTACAACAAAAACAGTCGTAATTTTCCACTTGATAGCTCCTGCTGTTTCCTGCCAGCGACGTTGCATAATGCTTTGTTTCATGATGAATAGATGAGCTTTACTGGGGAACCTTTTATGTATACAGAAGAAGACGAGCCGGAGCAAAGAGCCGTGAGGCAAATGTAAGCAGAAAAGTGACATAATGAGACAGTGCTACCTCCATACAGCAGCTGCTGTCACGAAACGCTGCATCGGAGGACTTTCTTAACTCTGCACACTCAACTCTTTGTTATCAGACAGAAAACGAAGACTCGAGAGCAACCTCGTCAGAAGTGGGGCATTAAAAATGCTGCAAATGAAGCAGGGCTGTTCTGAATCAGCAGTCTGCATATGGAGTTGCACCTGTCGTCTACGTCCAGTCCTGTCAGATGGCCTTATCTCTCTGCATCTTACTTCTTACAATCAGTTTATTCATTAGGTTTTCCGACAGTTAAGAACCAATGCATAGTCTAAATATCCAAAAAGGTCCTAGTGAAACATAAATTTAGCAACCTTTAGACAAAATGTGCAATTTTTTGAGCATAATTCCAAAGTCGGGCTCATTTTGTCCAGGAAATTTACAGTTGCATAAACATGAAACCAAGGCCAATCTTTGTTCAGACGAAGCTGAAGACAATGTTTTCTCAGCTTTGTTTGCTTTTCAATGTGTATATTCCTGGAGCTCTTTGTCATTTCAAGTGGAGAACACACCCATGCACTCCAACAAGCCATTATATGTAAAAGCTGCGCACATGACAAAGCTTCTTTTGTAGTCGCAAGGTTAGAGCTGTAAGTTGGAAGGACAGATTTCAATAATGTGCATTGTGTTCTTACAGGATCAGCACCATGAAGACCAGACTAGGCTGTCTCTCCCACAAGTCTGACTCCTACAGTGACTTCTCAGAGTTCCTGCCTCCTGCCCACGAAACCACGGCCAGGTGTCTGAAGTGAGTCTGCCAAAATCCTGTTCCTTCAAATGTGGTTTTAACAAATGGAGACACAGACTTCTGTTGTGTTAAGTAACTCTCAGGATGCTGGACTTGGACAGTGTAGCTTTAGCAGGATGAAAACTTCACAACTGTAATAATGTAATAATAATCTTCGGTCATTTAGGTGAACTTTCTGTGCAGCTTATTCCAATCCTATTTGTAAATCAATGCAAATAATGTGCCTATAACGTCACCACATAAGTGGATTCCACTGATGTTGGAGTTGAACTTTCCAAAAAAAACCGAGTTATTCATGCATTTATTTACTATCACTTTAAACTCTCACCATGCTTTACAATAAAAGTGGTAAACATTTGACATATTTTCTTCCCTTTGTTTGAACGCAATACAGAAGAGGATTAGGGCCACTGAAAATAACAAGGTCAGATATAATTTTTAAAAATTCAAAATTCTGACTTCATGCGGTGTTTGAGTTACCTCAGAAGTCAGAAGTCCGAGCTGGGAATGACGTCACACCCGAGTTCCCAGTGTTTCAGTTACCGAGTCAGAAAAAAGCTAAATCGGAGGCGGAAACAAGATGGCTACATCTACGAAAGTTATTTTAGCACTTGCCTCGTCCTTGCTTATATTCAGACAAGGCAAGCGCTTAAATAACTTCCGTTAACATACCAAGTAAAGCCCTGAGTTTATAATATTCTTGTGGCATTAAAAGCTATTTTAGCCTGTAAGGAGCTCTGCTTTAAAGTCAGAGTTATTTGAGCCCAAAAGTCAGCATACACCCTATTCTGGGATTGTTATAGAGTCCAGATTCTTCTATGTCTTGGAAGACAATCGGGGCTGCACTGATTAGAAATTATAAATATCGACTATAAATATCTATAGTTAGAAATCTAGGGGCCCATACTATAAGATAAGTTGAACATACCTCAAGTTTCTTCTTATCTGGTTTCACCAACACTGACAGAAGAAATCGCTCTAAACGGTCCCATGACACTGGTTATCAATTTAATAAGTAAACTCAGAGTGACTGTAAGCGTCTTAGCGAGGGGGCGGTGTAGGCAGCACATGACCAATCACAGACATTAGGAGGTTTGCTGTCCAATGATTGTTATATTCAAACACAGAGTGAGCTATAATAATAAAATGTGAATTTAATTGCATGATTCAAAAATCAACACAGCTGCATTTGCACAAAGATAAACAAACTGGATAATAGATGTCTGCAGTAAGAGGGTAAATCGAGACAGACAGTTTCCCTTCTTTAGAGTGGAAAAGATCCAACAACACCAGGTCCTGTTTATTTCATTAAACTGACTTGTTACTCTCTTGGCTTATTAGTTTTTTTTTATTTTTAACATGCATAGTTTCAGTTTCCCTCCACAGCCAAGCAAAGAGATTTGAAAGTGAGCAGAGTTTTCTAAAAATCGATCACTTATCCTGAACATAACTCGAGGTGAAGCAGGTTCGATTTTCAGTGAAAGTTATCACAGTGGTAAAAAGAGGTGACACCACTTTCGTAAACTGAAAATCTTCTAAAATGAGCTCTATTTTTAACTTTTTTAAATGTATTTTTTCTACACATCTTTTTACCCTATTTATTTATTGATTGATTGATTGATTGATTTACTTACTTGTTTGTTTGTTTATTTACTGTGCACTAGAGGTGGGAATCACCAGTGGCCCCATGATATGTTTTTAACTTTTTGCAATACAGTGAGTATTGCGCTACAATATATTGTACGTTATATAATTTTTTCAACTGTTTAGCTAATTTAGCATTTAGCTTTTCTTTATGTTTGTCTTATGTACACTGTATTTTATTTTCATGTAGCACTTTCTGCAAACCTTATATATATATATATACATATATACATATATATATATATTTGCTGTACTAACCCTCTCCTACTCTAAGATATCACCTCTGCCAAAACAACTGGACAAACAGTTGAATTTATTTTTACACTATCATAGATTTGACTTCATATTAACATAATTGAAAAATCGATACTTGGTAAATGAGACGATGCGATGTATCACCAGACAAAATATTGCGATACTATGCTGCATAGATTTTTTCTCCCACCCCTACTGCAGCATTGCTATCAACTGCATTTATTTATCTATCCTACACAGCAACATTACTGTAAACTATATTTAAATGACCTATTTATCACTACAATTAGAATTTTTTAATCTAAAGACATTAATTTAGTACTGTATTTTAATGTTATTCATTTTAAACTGTTTTTAATCTATAGGCATAGGTTTTAATCTGTTTTAATACTATTTTGATCCTAAACTGTTTCCAACAAACTGCAATTTGACTTGACAATATTTTGTGAAGTTTCAAAGTTCGTGAGTCTGGTTGTTAAATCAAATCTGTTGTTATTTTGTGGGCTTTCTCACACTTTCAACACCTGTTAAGATTTCAAACTAAAGTGACTTCATGTTTCAGGCTTCGGCTGTCCAAACACATGATTTTCGTTGTGTTCAGATCTGACAGAGTTCAGTACGAGTTGAATCCGACAGCCAGTTTTCACCACTTCAGCTCTGACCAGTTTTAAACACGTCATCTTTGTGTTTCCAGATGTCGGCAGTCTCTCTAAAATGAAACACGCCCCGGCTTTGTTTGATTCAGAGTAAAAATAAAATCAAAGCAGGCGTAATGAAAGGTGTTATTACAGGACATCTACTGTACATAAAAGGCTATTTTTACTCATCTTTTGTGGTGTTTCACAAATAGCCAAATGTTCCAGGCACCCTCTATCTAAATGAAGGATGCATAATGTAAACGTATCCCTTTAATCTTCAAGATAGCGTGTTACCCGTCATGGTCGGAGCGCTTCATTAAAATGTGAACAAATGTCAGCTGTTGTTCCTCTTCTTTCCTTCTTTCACAGCTGAAGAGCAGCGGATAAATCATACATTAAACTAAGCCTGCCTTCAATAATACACGCGGTACCATCTTGTGTTAAAAATGCATGAAAGCACTGTTGGTTTGCATCTTACTCAAGCAGTTTGCTTTGACTTTCTCTCCATCAGACTGTCGACGGACGAGGTTGTTCGATGGTCAGAGTCGTTTGATCATCTCCTCTCCCACAAACGTGAGTAGACAATTTTATTTTAAGAGGGAAAAGTCTCCTCATTTCAATTACATCTATAAATGTTAGGGTTTTTTTTCCCCTCTCTGTTTATTGGAATCAAATTTCCTCTCAGCACAAGTAAAGTCCACTCTGTCCTCCCTCCTGGCCCATCTCTCTTATGTAAGGGCTTCATGTGTTGTGAGGATTCCTTGCTGCGTAATGAGTCATCCACTTGTCTCTGACCTTCCCCTTGGACCAAAAACTCAATGGTTACAAACTCACCCACAAACACAAATCTATACAACCTGGTCAAGAGGTTCACTCTCAATTAGCTCACAGGCCTTGTAGCAGTGAATTAGCGGCATTAACCTCAATAAACTGACTAGAGGACATTAAAAAGCTGCAGACCACGTCTTTTTTACTCTCTTTTAACACACCCAGGTAGTTTAACTCATTGATAAGATAGAGTTAATCCAATTGACTGTCATATTAAAGGGTTGCTGCCAAAAATGTGAGCTGTGCAACTAATGTGCATGCATACGGAAGCATACTGCATTCACTTGCGAAAAAAAGAAAAGAAAATTGCTTTATTTTTTAGGTTTTTTTTTCTGATTTTCAGACTAATTTTTGGTCTTTTTATTCTATTTTTTTCTTCTATTTTTTGTACTATTATTTTTTTCCCTTCTTTCTGTTTTTCAGGCAAATTTTTTTTCAGTTTTTCATACATTTTTTTGTTTGTTTTTCTGTTTTTTTCTGAGAATTTTTTTCTTCTGTTTATTCTCTACTAAATGTTTTTCCCCTCTTTCTGTTTTTCAGGCAATTTTTTCTTCTGTTTTCTGTACTAATATTTTGTTTCGGTAGAAGTTATGAAATAACACCTTCGTTTGATACGTAACCATCAGAGAGCTAATGTCACTCACAGCAGGCTTATTAGAGGTGAGAACAGAGCCTTCCCCAGGCACCGGCAGCACGATACACCTGTGTATCCTGTTTCAATTGACCAAGCATTAGTGAGGTGAACTACAGCAAGTACATAAGCACACACACACACAAATAAATAAATACATTACATAAAGCAGTAAAAGCCATGAGATATAGTACAAAATGTTCCTTTCATACAATACTATACTCACTTAGGCTTTCATTTCGTTTTAACAGGGATGTTGTCACTGTTGAGCGTGTAATGCATTTGCTGTGACCCCTGGTGTTCTGACCTGAACACACAATCACCTGTTACATGTCTGTTCAGTTTAGGACATTTTGTAACAAAGAAAGGCACTGTGGTTTCCCTGCATCAAGTGTCAGGATTACACTTCGTATTGTCGCAAAGGTTGTTATACAAATGTCAACTCATGTAACTGAGGTCTACACAAAGCGGGCATTTAAGCCGAGCAACAATGTACTGTTTAAATAACGCGTAGGCTGTACGATCACTCCTGGATCTCCGTTGATTGCTTCGGCCCCAGCTGCCCTGCATTGTCCCCATTACTCCCAGCGGCTCCTAATTGCTGTGATGTATTCAACCTCAAGTCTCAAGGCATTCTCCTATCAGTTCATCAAGTTCCCTCCACTCAGTGACTCACATTGTGCTTAAGTTATGTGAACACGCCTGTACCCTGCTCTGATGTTGTAATTCAACCCAGTCTTGAGGCTCATTTATGCACAAAAATAGATCTGTACATTTTTAATCCACCTCTCCGTTGCAGTGCACACTCGGCTGCGAGAGAGCGCTGTACACACTCAGAAAGTTGAAGGAGAATGAAAAGTTTATTATATCTGAAGAAGTGCAGAAATACTGCAATAGGGGTCTGTGCCAATATCCATCAAAGAGCATTTAGGATATGTCCGCTAAAGTATGCATATTTTTCAAAACAGAAGTTATTAACGGACTGTGTTTGGACTGGTAAATTAAAAGCGATTGAACAGTAAGTAATGTTTCAGTATAGAGATGAAATCGAGCTAGGTTCTCTTGCAATCATGCAATTAAACCTACTTTAGGGTGACCATAATCTGAATCCCCAAAAAGAGGATATGTTTCTACGCGGGGCGGAATCACGGAGCAGCGTGTAGTAAATTTTGTGAGTTTTTTGGGTCAGGTCAAATGTTGATTACGCGCTTCTAACTCTGTAAGTCCATGCTACACAAACTCAAAACTTCCATGCAAAACCCCAGAGACTTGAAGGATTTTATAAACTCCAAAAAAAAGAGGACATGTGCGGGTAAAAGAGGACGTATGGGTGCCCTACCTACTTTTACCAAGCAGGTGAAAAGAAATCACGATGCAGCACATGCACAAAAAATGTTAAACAGCTGCCATACAAAATGAGAAACTCCAGAAACTCTTATTGTTTCTAAAGCCTGGTTTATGCTTCTGCACAAAACATACTGTACATGTACAACACAAGTATGCAGTGCTTTAGATGGCGTCGATACTGCTCAGGTCTGATGCAGAAAAAATAGAGTGAAGTGGCGTTTACTCCAAACTCCATCGACCTTTCATTGACACCTTTTCCACTTATTCCTGCCTCCAGCTGGCAGGAAACTAAGATGCTGACAATGTCAAATGTAAACTTCGATTGCAAGCAGAACTCAACAGACCCTGGCATCTTTGTGAGTGTGGGAGGGTACAGAACAAATCAGGATGTTGTGTAACTGAAAGGTGGTGCTGTTTGAAACACTTGGTCGACAGAAGGCCAGTGGTTTAAGTCGTTTTTCATTATTATTGTTATTATTGAGTGGTTCATTCATATCACCCTCCAAATGTTATGAGTATGAAGGTCGAGTCTGAAAATACGTTTAAGTTTGCACGATATAAATTATCTACAAAACAAGCTTCCCTTAAGAAATGCTCTCAGTTAGAAAGAATCACCGCTTGTTCCCTCTGCCTTAAATATCTTAATCTTGTTTATCTCACTGTTAAGTTGATCAGCATTTACAGTTTAGTTTGATTTCACTCACTGTTCTCTCTGCAGCCTCTTGCAGACTCGACTACCCACTCGGTACTCAACGGCAGACAGAATTGTTATATATATAGCAAAGTACTTACCAGCAGACAGAAACTGTAAATATAGCAGAGTACTCAGCTGCTTCACAGCCAACACAAGGACGTGTTTATTCAGAGGCATGCTTTATCAACTTTAGAGAGTACGATGTGTTATTCCTGCTGCACCAAAGGCTAATAGATCTGTTAGTGTCGGTCATTTAAATAGTTGGGGCAAAAATAACCAACAGGCTATTTTTAAACTTTACTGTTGAGGCCAAGAGTGTCTTTGTGCTTCAGTAAGTACAGCAGCCATAGACAAGCCAGCAAAACAACCGTAAAAGGTACATGTTAAAAGGATATTCCGACATAAATTTAAGTTAAAGTCAAACACACAATAACACAGAGTTAGTCCCCCCTTATGAGATGAATGTTGCCGACCGCTTGCTTCTCTAGTTATACAAACTTTAGTAACAACCGCACAATAGCAATACACAGCAGTCTGAGGAGCCATAAACAAACCTCGACCAAAACGCCACTCTATAGCCACAAATAATGCTCAGAACAACACCTAACTTCATCAACAGGACATATACGGTCCCAGCCATAGTACTAGACACCAAACATCCTTTTAGCTTTGCCTGATTTTTTTAGCAAAGAGACTAAACACAGCTCACCCACTCTCCTCCAGCAGCTGCTTGTTTGTGGGGGAGCCCTGACGAGTCGATCACTGAGTGCAGCGGAGTTTCGCAGCTCAAGGAGGAACATTTATGATTATTACTTCATGGAAATGCAATCAGACCGAGACGTTAAGGCAGAAGAACTACTGTGTCTGCAGTGCAAAATGATTATTATGATGATTTTTACTTAATGGAAATGATCCGCTGCACTCTGTGATCGACTTTTGTTACTTATGTTGAGTTACAATCGTAATGTTACATCCTCTTGACCTAAAAAGGTTGTCAAAACAGGCTTTTAACCAACATTTAGCTGAAATTTTTGTGGAATTACAAAGAAAATTATCTATAGTTTATGTGTTGACTTTAAATCTACTTTATTCCACGGACTCTGCCATTTCTGAAAATGCCAGATGTCAAAATTTGTGAATAAACACAACCTTTTATGAAGGCGTTATTAGCACGGAAAAAAAAAACTTTTTTATTTAACTTAAGAAAAAAACTGGGCTATTGCATCAAATTTTGTGAATCTGATTTTTTTTTTTCGCTACTTTAAAGTTTTGATGTACACAAAGGAAAAGAAGATCCTCAAATTCCGACAAATGTTAAGTATTCAAACTTCAAATTTGGATTTATCGGATTGGCATACTTTAATCCTGAGTGTCTCTTCTTTCCTAATCATTCTGGGGAATCTCTGAATTCCCCAGAGTCGACATCACACACCTCCACGCTCTCTGTGACCTTTTTAAAAGTGATGGGAAAATCACAGGGGGGAAAATTGGTTTTGATATGCTTTCAAAAATACTGAAGAAGAAGAAAAAAAGGGAGTGCTTTAAAGGTTTGAAGGTTCCTTGTTGCCTTTGACGTCTGTGCGCCACAGTCATTCAGGGTCGGCAGCAAAGAGTATTTCTTTTTTTCGTAGCCTGTGTGGACCTCCGTGTTACGTGTCCCTCTCACTCATTAGAGTGTGAGCATCTGTGTGGGCAATTTTGCCCAATCGGAACAGATGGAGCGCCTCTTCTCTCGCCCCAGCTTAATGAGTAAACAGCAGAGAAAAAGAGGGGTCCAAATGACATGTCAACATGACCGGGCCCGTGGAAAAACATCCCCTTCCTCTGTGATATCATTAAAAGGGGAGCACATAAATCGATCATTTATCTTGACAGGGTAAAATATCTCTCGGTGGGAGGATTTTTTTTCTCAGATTTTGTTTGTGTGTTCTTATCATGGGAGCATTTCCCCGCTTCTGGGAACAAGTGTGTATGCACTTGAAAACATCAACAAGAGACGAAGGACATTACCGAATATCACGTGGTCAGGAAGAGGGGGTAAACAGTGAGGGGGAGTTTTCAGCTGCTGTACAGAAATAGGTGTAACACAGAGGTATCAATCATGATTTGAAGTGTTTTTTGTTTTTCTACCTCCCCCCCCTCTTACCGTGTGATTTATGTGTCCTTTCCAGATGGGCTGGCTGCCTTCCGGACGTTTCTCAAGACGGAGTTCAGCGACGAGAACATCGAGTTTTGGATGGCCTGTGAGGAGTACAAAAAAATTAAGAGCTCCACCAAGCTTGTCTCCAGAGCGAACAAGATCTTTAAGGAGTTCATCGATATTCAGGCACCAAGAGAGGTGTGTGTGGCTGATATTACTGTGACCTACTCCGATTTTGAATGCTGAATTGAGATTTGATTGTTTGATTAATCGTGGTTTAGAGGCACAAGTTGAGGGCAGGGAAATTGATTCATATTTGAAATGCCCTTACCCCCTGACTTGGAGAAGTTATTCAGACATTTCAGTGAGAAGTCATGCTTCTGGTCTCCCAATGACATCAACCCTGCACTGAGAAAACCGTCACCTGTTGAGCCTAATGTGGATTTGTGTTCGATCTTCTTTTCTCGCCAGGTGAATATCGACTACCGCACCAGAGAAAAGACAAAACAAAGCCTTGAAGATCCGTCTCCAACCAGCTTCAATGAAGTCCAAGCTAAAGTCCACAGCCTCATGGAGAAAGACTCCTACCCACGATTCCTCAGGTCTAAGATGTACCAGGACATAGTGAACCGGGCGCAGGCACAAAGCCAGCGGAGGTCTGTTTGATTGGATCAATAGAGACCACAAAAGGAGAGAAAAACTGGGCCTACAGTGTAAATGAATCATAAACCTTTTGACTTCATCTCTGAATACTGTGAATCTGCAAGGATGGAGGAACATGCTCGACTGTGTCCTTTATCAACACCAAATCCATGCATGCAATCCCTGCAGAAAAGATAAACTTCACTGCAAAATACAGAGACTTTGGAGCGGATGAGGATAAATTAGCTTTACCTTCCATGTAGTGCTGGGCGGATACCTTCATTTATCATCATTAACCATTATCATATCACATGACACTGCCTAAAAATGGATTTGGGACAAGTTGGTATGGGATCTAATCTTAAACCTTAGAAGGTGCGAGCTGGAAAATCACAAGTTAACTTAAAAGTGGAGGTTTGTTTTCATGAAATGGTTCCTCACACTTCTCTTGGATTATTAATAACTATTTAAAGGAAGTACCTAGGAAGTAAATAAATACATAATCGCTGTGTAAACTGATTTTGTACCATTTCTATAGCAGCCTAATGTTCAGATTGGATTTAAAGAAAACTCAGATTAACCAGTTTTAGAGACCTAATGAAAAGTATCATAACCCAGAACTGTGACGATGGCAAAAGCAGGAAAACAGGAAATTCTCAGTCTGTTTATTTCAAGTATCTAATGGAAGCACAGTGAATGGATGACTTAGTAAACTGTTTGTCCACAATGTATAAAATACGACAGTGACCTGATTCACAAATAAGATGACATTCAAAACAAGACAGGAAGTGCTTGGAGCTTGGAGTGAAGAGTATTTTAAAAAGTTAAAATCAGGGGGACATATTTCATACTCACTAGGAGTGAAAAGTAACATGTCTGGAGGTTTCATTTACAAATTAGAGAAATCCCTGATAAACCCTCACCAGTCAGGGGGATATTATTTATTGTTTGGAAAAAATAGGTTGAAGTTTTAGTTAAAGTTTCATTTTACAGTGAAGAACTTAATCCTTTTACTGCACTCAGAAGAAAAGATGTGTTCAAGCATTTGAGGTGGCTCACAGCAGCCTAGAGAATAGTTGGCTTCGTCAGAGTTCATCAGGTCACATCTGAGTTTTATCAGTGATTTTACTGGCTTTTCTGACCACTTTTGGAAATTTTCTGTTACACAAACACTCAAGTCTTGGATTCAGGATCAATGCTGGGGATGAAAAATAAATAAATCAGAACTTTTCAGTTACAGATATAAACCATGTATACATGGGAGGTGCTTGCTGGTTGAGGTACAGTATCGATGTTAAAGGAGTTTTTTGACATTTGTGAAACAGACTGAAATTAAAATTAAGATCTATTTATGATATGGGAAAGCAAATACAACCATTAGTGACAAGATTTACAAGTTTAAAATTGTGATTTTTAATGTTTGAAACTGTTGCGAGAGGGAAGGTATCAGCTGTGCGTCGAAAGAGACAACCCTGTTTTGACAATTTCCACAAAGATATAAAATGAATTAAACACCAGACTTCCAAGAGTCAGCAGGATGAGTCAGAGGACCCCACTTAAGCCTTTGTATGCCAAAATGGACACATACTAAAAATTCCTTACAGGAGTTTTAAGTAACGATATTGATGACTGAATTCTTAAGCGGGTGAGGTTCAGCATTTCCTGAGATGGTATCATTCCTTCAACTAAAAATGAATGCATTAATTAAACCATCATGGTTTCATCACCCAGCACTACCTCTAGTTTACTTACCATCAGTTCTGTGTGAAATAGACACTGTCGTATGCAGGTGAGTAGACCTTTTGTGGTAGTTTGTGTGTTTACAAAGAATAATTAGTGAGTGAACACTCACTATCTGAAACTGTGCCAAAATACAGTATATTGCACTTGATATAGCTGCGTAATCCTGTGTGTTGTAAACTCTTACTGTGACTTTAAATGTGGAGTAGAAAAGGGTCGGGCTCACTTTTGCTTTGACTTCGCTCAGTTCAGGAAACAGAAAAGAGAGAATATCATTTCTCCTTAGTAAAGTTATCCCCTTAAATTCATGTAACATTAACTCATTCAGCGCCAATGACCGTTTTGACGGATTTTTCAGGTCTTTTGTTTTCCGCCAGAAAGCACTCCTTACCAACATGCGACTGAGTTTGGGGTCGTTCTGAACGCAGAAAAGCAGACAAATACATCATAACCGTGTTACAATGACAACAACAAGTGCTCGCCAGTGAGTAGTGTGCCAATTAGCCTACTTGTTGAGTGTTTTTTCTCCGTGAGGAGAGTAGGAAAATGCCAAAGTCATTATAGCCAAGAACAAACAGTCTTGGCACATCGGCTCCCGGCACGCTGCTACCGTCTCTGGATCAAGAGTCAAAGCATCAAGTAACAATTTTCCGGCGTGTCGTTGGTGCCTTTACTGTTGAGCGAGACTAAGCCGGCATTCAGCGACAGTCCCGGTGAGGAGGACGCAAGCAGTTTGTGTGGTCTACATCACGCGTCAGGTTCTTGAGAGCCAATACGACTAACAGCTGTTGCAAAGTGACCTATCACAATCGGATCTGGGGAGTGGTGTCCAAGGAGGGAGGACCTTGATGCCACCGGTAAAGTAGTTTGAAGTGAAATGAAATAGACGATCAGACTTTGGCTTGAAAGTCTCTTCTTCGTAAAAATGTGTTTTTCCAGATCGGCAAAGATGAAATGACCACGCTGCCTTGAGCAGGTGATAACTTAAACACAGGATTTCGCTAGAGACTAACTTTTTTTCTACTTTTGAGATATTGCACTTAATTCTAGTCCAAGCACAAGATATTCTGTTGGTCCTGAAAGATACAGAAATTTCTACTGCGGTCAATGGTGGCACCGGGTGAAAATTGCACAAATGAACCTGGCACTGAATGAGTTAATATTATGAAAAAAAGGTTCATCTGAAATCAACAGAAGTCTGCAAATGAATCGGTTACATAAATCAGGAAGTGGTGATTCATTAAAAGGTAAATCTCATTGGTTTGCGTAACTCCGGTGTTCCAGTAAAGAGCTTAATAAGCAGCGCTTCGTTAACCTGATTATCACAAACTGCTCTCCTGACCCTGCTCTGAGCGGACTACAAGCAAAAAACCTGACCCTCATAGACTCCGCTCTAGTTGACTAATGATTGCAAATGATTTAAATTTTCAGCATGACGCAGTACTCAGAATAACTACTTAGATATTCTATGACTTGTATGTTGTATTAGGAAATCGACTGCAAAAAAAACAATCTGTAGTTAATAAGATAAATGTGTTTGGATGTGCTCTCTTAGCATTTGCACTCCTTTTTTGAATAAGCTAATTAAAAAGACTTCCTGGGTGTTTCAGGGAAGATAAATATTTTCGTTAATGCATGAGTACTGTACGAGCCAGACTGTTGGAAATGCAGCAAAACTGGCAGGAAAACATATCGCTCTACTATATTCAATGTGACTGTGCTCCACATGAATGTAACCTCCCCCTTTTCTTTTGTGATTAAAAAGGAATCTGCATCCATTCTGTGTCCGCCGTGTGACTTCATTCCCATAATGCCACAAGGGTTTTTTTTTTTTTTTTCGGAGTTATGAAAATGCATTCATCCAATCATCAGGCGAACAGATTGACCTCGTTTCACAGCTGTTTTATAACAGAAATAAAAGCAGAAAAGTCAGAGTCGATACATGAAAACACGAATCCTCAACCTGGGGTGATTCATCCCTTCATTTACAGATTTATTCCCAGATTAGGGATTATAATGTCTATATTTTAAGGGAGTAATTAGCTGGAAAATAATGGAAATTTTCAAAAAACAAGTAGGAAACAGGAGTTGTTGAATTGCTTTCCACATTGTGACTGCATTTCCTTGCTCCCTGGGTTAGATGCCGACGCTGCTTTTATGCGGCGATGACTCAGAAAGTTTAAAAAAAATCCAAACTAAAAACAGAACATGAAACATTTATGGGACTATTTCTACTTAGCATCAAAACCATGCGCTCTGCCCTCTGCAGTATCTGGGGCGCTTGTGGGATATCATCGTCGCCCACTGTGACAGCGCACAGCCATTAACTTCACCGCTGTTGATTGTTAGTCACTGAGGGAGTGGAGAGCGGAGTGAATGTGGGACAGCACCCTGCTCAGCAGACACAACACGAGCCTATGTGGGCCAGTAGACTTCAGACAGCGCAGACGCACTACTCAAAAGTGGAAGTGATCACAAGCCGAGTACGAACCCAGCGTGAAATAATGGCTGCTGCGAATTATCTCTGCTTCTAAAAAGTGTAAATTGCTGTGATGTATTTGGACATCAGAGGGCGAGGGAGCTATTTGTAGAGGCAGTAAGGCCTTTTATAGATGGGATGAGACAGAAATAGTGAGGCTGTGGAGGTTTTCTGCTAAGGTAAACACTATTACACATAATATGTTAATGGAGCTGGAAGGCAAACACTCCATTTCGTTGGAAATAGGCGAGCAATTCTACTTGCAAATGTATTATTCGGAAAAGTACTAACCCCACATGGCTTTATTGACTGTGCTCAAAGTGTGACGATAACCATCACCATACATTACCTCAATGTTTTTTTTGTGTGCTGGCAGTTCTTGAAGGCTGCCAGTGATTTATTAACTCTGTATGGAGTAGCTATACTGATGCACAACAGCGTCAATGTCAGTGTCCTACAAAACTTTTGCATTTAGTCTAAAAAAAAACCCTGTTTTTTCAAAAATCTGTATCCAGTGACCTAAAACTCTGTGTGTGTACAGACCGGCAAAATACACACACACACACACATAACAGCGGCTTTCAAAAACCCCCCCATGTGTGGACAAGGTCTCAGACACAATGACACACAATTGACAGCCAACCTCTTTACCTCCAAACTGCTCTCTCTCTCTCTCTCTCTCTCTCTCTCTCTCTCTCTCTCTCTCTCTCTCTCTCTCTCTCTCTCTCTCTCTCTCTCTCTCTCTCTCTCTCTCTCTCTCTCTCTCTCTCTCTCTCTCTCTCTCTCTCTCTCTCTCTCTCTCTCTCTCTCTCTCTCTCTCTCTCTCTCTCTCTCTCTCTCTCTCTCTCTCTCTCTCTCTCTCTCTCTCTCTCTCTCTCTCTCTCTCAGAGTCCTTGGCTGTTGTTTCTCACCCGACCCTCGTACACAAACTCAGCTGTCAGCTTGATCACACATTTACTCATTTCTGATAAACCTACAAATTTGTACGACTGAAAAAACTGGTTTCAGCTACAACCCATACGTTGGATGAGAACAGGACAGTGCATTCAGGTTCCTTAAAAGGGATATTCTGGCATAAAATTAAAGTACGGTAAAACACATCGTAACACCGAGTTAGATACCCCCGAGAGAGATAAATGTCGCTGACCGCTTGCTTCCCGAGTTATACCAACTTTAGCAACGACCACACGAAACCTCAACCAAAAAGCCACTCTATAGCCACAAATAATGCTCAGAACAGCACCTAACTTCATCAACAGGACATATAGGGTCCCAGTCATAGTACTAGCCACCAAACATCTTTTTAGCTTTGCCTGATTTCTTTGGCAAAGAGACTAAACACAACTCACCCACTCTCCTCCAGCAGCCGCTTGTTTGTGGGGGGAGCCATGACGAGTCGATCAAAGAGTGCAGCGGATCATTTCCATGATGTTATGATCATCATATTAATCATTTTGCACTGCAGACGTGGTATTTCTTCTACCTTAATGTCTTGGTGTGATTGCATTTCCATTAAGTCGTAACCATAAATGTTCTTCCTTGAGCTGTGAAACTCCACTGCACTTGGTGATCGACTTGTCAGGCTCCTTGTGTTTAGTCTCTTTGCTAAAGAAACCAGGCAAAGTTAAAAAGATGTTTGATGGTTAGTACTATGGCTGGGACCCTATATGTCCTGTTGATGAAGTTAGGTGCTGTTCTGAGCATTATTTGTGGCTATAGAGTGGTGTTTTGGTTGAGGTTTGCGCATGGAGACGTAGACCGCTGTGTATTGCTATCATGTGGTCGTTACTAAAGTTGGTATAACTAGAGAAGCAAGCGGTCAGCAACATTCATCTCTCTCGGGGGTGTATAACTCTGTGTTACAATGTGTTTTACTGTAATTTAATTTTATGCCAGAATATCCCTTTAATCCTGGATGTCAACATGTCAATAAGTGGACTGATGGTACTTATTTTGGCCATAAGGCGGCTGTTGGAGTTGGCTGCTGTGATTCAAAATGTCAAAAAGGCTCTTAAGTTATTGTAACAGACTCAAAATAAAGAGATTAATTGAAAGATTTTTATAAGATGGTAACTGATGGTGATCAGTATTTCTTCATCTTGATTGTTCTGTCCTGTTTTTGCCCTCCCTCTCCTGCAGTACCTCTCTTTCTCTCTCTCTGTATCTGCTCACTTTATCAATAGTAAACATAATACCCATGGTGCAGCGCTGCCATGACTATGGATCATGTGGGGGATGAACAGGACAGTTGATTACTCCTCCTGTTCAGATCTGAGACAAACAACAGAAGCAGCACGAGAAAAACATCCAAACAAATTTGATTTACGGCTATGAAAACCTCCGCTCTAAGAACGGATGTATTACATCCAATGCTGCTCCATCCTCACATGACAGTAGGAAGAAATGTAAACATAATGTTCCCTTTATTTTCACCACTGACTTAAACGACTCTGTTTAATGTACAAGGGCTTGCTTGTGATAATGCCACAGGGATTTTTATCGGTCAGCTGCTATTTTCTCTAGAGCTTCTGAGACCTGCTCAATGTCTCGAGTGTTTGTGTGTCTTATGTATTGTTTATTTTTAGCCTTTATTCAACAGTTTTATAATCAGAGCTTGAATAAACTCATTGTGCACACCTGCCCAGGAGTTAACAACAGATGCAGCGATTAAACTCAAACTAAGTTATTGTTTTTATTCACTGCACTGAAAACACATAACTGAAGTGCATCCAAAGGTATTACTATCTGCTTATTTTTAGCCCAGTATCAGTATCTGTAATTGGCCAATTACTGTCAATACTGGTATACAGCAACAGCCAGATTACCAAACTGTAAATGAAACAAAAACAGGAAAAGTTTGGGAGTTTGTGCGGAACAAAAGTCAGTCCAGAGTTACTGATATTGGACTCAGACGACTTTCATAGCCGGAGTTAAGACTTTAAAATCTGTTTGCTTCATGTTTTAGGTGTGAGCTGTATCACTTCATATTCTGTCCTCAATCATCAAGTCAATTAAAATCTGTGTAAATTAATTAAAACTGATCTAAAATTTGCAGAAAAGCAAAAAAGTCTGGGAGAGGTCATGCTAATCTAGTGATTCCAGCTCTATGCAGACTTACAAATCCTGGATCAGTGGACTACATTTCATGAGATTGTAAACCAAAGATAAGTAAACAACAACATAATCTGGTCATTTAGTGGCTCCAAAGACAGGTTGCAACTAACGACTATTTTAATACTCGTCTAGTCACAGACTATTGAAATGATTAGTCGACTAATCGGATAATTATGAACTTATCTATGCTAAAGTGCTCCCAAACTTTGAAGGTTATTAAGCGTATACTTGTAGCTGTATGGGACACCAGCGCTGCCGTGTTTGAATACCCTACCCCTTGGTGACTGTGTGAGTCTAGGCAGAGATTGTAATGGAGTAAGACGCTTCACTCCACTGGAAAAAACACGTCTGGTGACAATCATTGACAACAGAAATAATAGTCGACTTTTTTCATTATTGATTATTGTCAACATTGACTAATCATTGCAGCCCTACTCCAAAGAAGTGTTTAAATACTTAATATCCGAAGTGTAAAAGCACCATCGTACTTCACAATCCTCTCTGTGAGTATACTGTATCCCACTAAGACTCTCCTACTCCCACAGGCCTGGGTTGTCCATCTGTGCGATACGTCGTATTTTTAGTCACAAACAACCCTCTCTGAATAACAGTACCTGCTGCTCCCTGCCCCTGACATGACTGATTGTTTGTTATGATCTCAGAGGCAGCAGGCACCTCCATACGTGATGTTGACAGGAGTCAGATATCAGTCCTGTTGTTGCCATTTGGGCCTGAAATTTCGCAACCCCACTAAAGCGATACAGCAGAAGAAAACAAGGCCATTTAGCGCCGGGTTAATCATTACTGGTGATTTCTGCAGGCGAGCTCCACAGGGTTAGGGACCACCCACGAGTTAGAGTCATCGAACACCTAAAGGGGCTTTTGTTGGAGGGGGCATCACTGTGATATTTTATTCATGCCTGTGAAATCTGTCTCCGCTCAGCTGCTCTCGTGTTACAGTACACAAAGGTGAATTACTACAGCAGACAGGAATACTGAATCTACACGTGACAAAACAAACCAAAACACAAAAGCGTCCCTCTGCTTAGTATGCAGCACAGCAATGGAAATATGTACTTTTTAAATCAAAACGGTCTTATGTCTCCTCTTCTACCGGCATAATCAAAACATTTAAAGTGCATTTAATATTCACAGATGGCTGCTGCACATGTCAGGGCACGTGTCTTTGCTGTGGACTGACTGAACGTATTGATTTTTATGATTAACAGAGAATTTCCTGTTCACAGTGGTATGTTATATGAAGGCTACAGGAATCTATCATGCAAACAATGCTGTTAAAATGTGGAGATAATCAAGGTTTCTGTATGAAAAATGTGCACAATTAAAAAGACCCTGATAACAGGAACATTTAGTTACATAAGTAAAGAATAAGAGATGTTTCATATTCATATTCATATTCAGAAGCATTGAGCACATATCTGACTGTTGAGTCACACTACCTGGTGCACTACCTGATTATTTTGCATAACATTTAATAGAAAAGTAAGCTTACACTGTTTGCTTATACAAGGCTGAGACTTTGGAGCGCTGCACCAAAGCTGGAAATAAACTTCTGATGGTTTTATTATGTTTGTGCAGCTGCTACCCACAACTTGCAATATTAATTTTCATGTTGCGTCCTTAGTTGCTATGAAGCCCATCCAGATTACAATTTTTTCACCTTACAGTTACTGCAAAAAAAATCGACACACAACCAGTATAGATTTAGCAATTCTGTATATATATATATAAATATATATATATACAAACCTCAATTAAAAACAAATATAAGTCAAATTAAAGCTCCTGTAAGGAGTTTTTTAATTGTTTATGAAACAGACTGCAATGCACAGTGATGCTTCATTATGATGTATTAAAACAATAGAGACCATTCATGACAAAATTGTTCCCTTTCGCGTTATAATTTTTTACGGGTATAACAGCTGTGTATGGGTTACACGGGAGAAACAGCAAATATTTACAGAGAGTGAAACATTTTACAGGAAAAAAAGGACAAAAATTAACCATTTTCTCAAGAATTAAACAAAATAAGCAATGGTTACAAGGGTTATTACTTTGTCCACAGGGGGCGCCAGAGTCAACACAGACAGAAAGTTCCCCACAGGAGCTTTAAAGTTATGTTACAAGCCTATAACAGGGTTCCTGCACAGCTGGAATTTTCATACTTTTCTTTACCCTAATTTTTGAATTATTTTTGGACCTACTTTATTTCAGAAAACAGTATTTTAAACTAATAGTCTGGAGACAAATATTTTTCCATACTTAATTTTTCATTTTCCATACTTTTTAAGACCTGGAAATTGATCAAATTTATTTCCGTACTTGTGTAGGAACCCTGCCCTTAACAGAAACTTCAACTTGTCACATACTAATTTTTAGCACCGTATCCACATTTCATTAATCAAAAAAGATGTTTTTGTTTGTTTTTATATTGTAAGATATATGCATATTATTTTTTAACTCCTCCCTCAGAGACTCTGACACTCAGTCAGTGGTCTTTACCTGGACTCTGCTCACTGTTTTGTGTTGTATGTACTTATTTTACTTATTTTACCTATTTATCTCTATATTTTTACTTATCTATTATTTATCTCTTCTTTTGCTGTATTTGCACTGGAGTACTGTGACAAAAGCAATGTCCCCCTGGGGATTATTAAAGTATTTCTAGTTCTGATTCTGTAAAAATGTCTCTAGTTGTTGATATTTCAGGCTTGCAAATTCCTTACCAAGCACACCCATGTGGTGATGCATGGATCTAAGATTGATTGTAATCATACAAGCGGAATTGGCATTAAATGGAGTATAGCA